AAAGGACAGCTTTCAACTCCTCCTCTGGATAAGGATTCTCCTTTCTCTTCCTTTTTTTTTTTTATTTATTTTTTATTTTTTTATTTTTTGACAGGCAGAGTGGACAGTGAGAGAGAGAGAGAGACAGAGAGAAAGGTCTTCCTTTGCCGTTGGTTCACCCTCCAATGGCCGCTGCGGCCGGCGCGCTGCGGCCGGCGCACCGCGCTGATCCGATGGCAGGAGCCAGGAGCCAGGTGCTTTTCCTGGTCTCCCATGGGGTGCAGGGCCCAAGCACCTGGGCCATCCTCCACTGCACTCCCTGGCCACAGCAGAGAGCTGGCCTGGAAGAGGGGCAACCGGGATACAATCCGGCGCCCCAACCGGGACTAGAACCCGGTGTGCCAGCACCGCTAGGCGGAGGATTAGCCTAGTGAGCCGCGGCACCGGCCCTCCTTTCTCTTCCTTATTGACTCTCTCCAGAAGAGATTACTTGGGCATCTTTCTTCTGAGAATCTGTGACTTTATGTAAGTATTAGCTTATCTTGAGAGAAAGAACATGCTTTCTCCTGTATCTTGGACCTAGAACATTGAGTTATATATCTGCTTTATTTACCCTCCAATAATCTACCCTCCACTCATTTAAAATGTTTCCCATTTATACTCTGGAATGAGAAAATCTAGTCCTTAAAAATATTTAAATATTTTCACTTAAAATATTTTTAAAACTTCGAAGACTACTCCTTAAAAGTAAACAACCATGAGTGTGGTACAGCAAGTTGAAGCCTCCGCTTGGGAGACCTGCACTGAAGTCTCTGGTTGAGTCCCAGCTATTCCATTTCTGGACCCAGCTTGATTCTAATGTCCCTGATAAGACGGCAGAAAACAGCCTAAGTACTTGAGTTCCCAGCTCTGACTATTGGAAGCTTGCCCTCACTCCCTCCCTCTCTCTGTCTCTCTGTATGTATGTCATTCTGCCTTTCAAATAAAAATACATAAATAAAACCTAAAATAAATGTGTTCTAAAATTAGTTTAAAAAGCATCTGATTCTTTGAGTTGTCATAATCTTTAATATTACTTCCGAATTTCCACTTCTGCCATTGTATTACTAAGTCTTTAAATACATTTTCAATCGGGGCAAGCATTTGGCCTAGCGGTTAAGATGCAGTTAGGACAACAGCAGTTAGGACATGGGAGTACCTGGGTTTGATTCCTCTGGAGCTCTGCTCCTGATTCCAGCTTCCTGATAATTTGCACCCTGGGAAGCAGCAGTAATAGCTCAGTAGTTGGGTTCCTAACACCCATGTGGGAGACCTGGATTTGGTTCCTGCCTCCTAGCTTGGCCTCAGCCCAACCCAGTCCGTAGATATTTGGGGAGTGAACCAGCAGGTAGAAGCAATTTCTTTCTGTCTCTCAAATAAATAAATGTTTTAAATGCTAAGATTTCAATGAAGTTTTCATAATCAGCATAAAATACATATTATTTTCCCAATATGTGAAGAAAATTGATGATAAGAATTATTTTTCTGCATAGTAGCAAAGGAACTTTCAAGGATATCAGCATCCTTACCCTGAATTCACAGTCATTCGCTAGTGTGCCTCTTGTACAGCCCTTACCGTTTCTCCAGAAACCACATACACCACCTAAGACAGTCTCAGGGCATAGTACAACATTTTGCACATTTGTAAAATGGGTAAAGGGAGAAAAAAATGGGCATTTTTTTCCCATCTTTCAAGAGTTTTTTTAATAGTCTTTTTGTTCTGATCCTCTTGTTTGAAGCTATTTTCCTTCCATTCTGTTGCCATGATATTTTGCTTGCTCTGCATTTATTTCATTCTTGCCATATGTAGTATTTCATTCTGTTGCCATCTGTGTATTGTGTACACAGAAGGTACACAATGAATGCTTTTTAATAAACAGATAAGTGGGCCGGCGCCACGGCTCACTAGGCTAATCCTCCGCCTAGCGGCACCGGCACACCGGGTTCTAGGCCCGGTCGGGGTGCCGGATTCTGTCCCGGTTGCCCCTCTTCCAGGCCAGCCCTCTGCTGTGGCCAGGGAGTGCAGTGGAGGATGGCCCAGGTGCTTGGGCCCTGCATCCCATGGGAGACCAGGAAAAGCACCTGGCTCCTGGCTCCTGCCATCGGATCAGCGCGGTGCGCCGGCCGCAGCACGCCGGCCACGGCGGCCATTGGAGGGTGAACCAACGGCAAAGGAAGACCTTTCTCTCTGTCTCTCTCTCTCACTGTCCACTCTGCCTGTCAAAAAAAAAAAAATAAATAAATAAACAGATAAGTGGGGGCCAGCGCTCTGGCACAGCAGGTTAAAACCTGGCCGGCAGTGCCTGCTTCCACATGGGCACCAATTCAAGTCCTGGCTGCTCCACTTCTGATCCTCTTCCCTGATAATGTGCCTGAGAAAGCGGAGAGATGGAAGAGATGGCCCAAGTCCTTGGGCCAAGCAAGATGCTGGCTCCTGGCTTTGGCCTAGCCTAGCTCCAACTGTTGTGACCAGTTGGGGAGTGAGTCAATAGATGGGGAAGACCTCTCTCTCTCTGTAACACTTTCAAATAAATAAAATAAATCTTTAAAAAATAAACAGATAAGTGAATAACAGTAAGCTTCTACATGTGAGTTTTTAAGTCATTTGAAGATCCATCCCATCCATATTTTAACAAAATTATTTTCTGGTAATAAAGTTGCTTTCTCTGCTCACCTACTTAGGACACAAAAAAAAATTTTCAGCGCTCTAGAGTGAATAACACAGGTGATGGAAAATTTGACCTGAGATCATTCTCCTTATCAAAATTATAAAATGATTTAGGAAAGAATTTTTATTTTTATTGTCATAAATATCAAGATACTTGTAAAACTTCACATTTTGGCCATGGTAAAAAATGTACGGTAGCTAAATTTATTTATTGCACCAGAAATTGCATCAGTGCTTTTACTTGTACATATTTTTCAAATTAATCATTATGCTAATATCAGGTAGGTAGTATTACCTTCTCTATATAAATATGAAAACTGAAGCTCATAAATATCAAAAACCTTCCCAGTAATAAATAATAAATGGACAGGTCAGCATTCCAAGCCAGAGATTTCTAACAGTAAAGAATCATTCTTTCCTTTCTGGACACTAATATCCCAAGGTGTTTTAGACAAATAAACTTTAAGTGTATCTAATACATGATTATGTTGCTTCTTCTGTTTATGGGTACAATTATCTTTCGCATATTGTCAATAGAATAAGAATTATATTAACAAAACATAGTGTATATGTAGCCATCAATGCTTAGAAGAAAGGAGTAGTTTAGAAGAAGAGTTTCCTATCTCTTCACTTTCATCTAGTCAGCCACTTCTTTTCACTTACTTTAACTATGACATCATTGCACATGAAGTCCAAGCCTTTGGATACCAAACGACAAAGCATAGATGGACTTTCAGACTCTTTTTTTTCATTCCCATTTCCAGTATGTAAAGAGATCTTTGACTAAAAAATAACCCTTTTTTATTTTTTACTTACTTTAAATGCAGAGTTAGAGAGAACAAGCAAGCAAGCGAGAGAAATCTTCCATCCTCTGGTTCACTCCCCCAAATGGCTGCAACAACCGGGGCTTGGCCAGGCTCAAGCCAGGAGCCAGGAGCTTATTCCAGATCTCCTATGTGCATGCAGGGGCCCAAACACCTGGACCATTCACCGCTGCCTTCCCAGGTGCACCAGCAGGGAGCTGGATCAGAAGTGGAGCAGTCAGGAGCAGAGCTGGTGCCCACATGGGGTGTCAGTGCTCAACCCACTAACCCGTAACGTCAGCCCCAGGCAGATAATGATAACTACTTTAACACTCAGTTCTCCCAAATAATCAACACTCAATATCGGCAACAGAAAAACATGTGAAACCTCCTCCTCCAAGACACTTTCAACCCTCATTATTTAGGTCAGTTACCACACCACAGGAAAAGCATGATTAAAAGGATTAGCACATGATAATAGCATCTTTTTAAAAAAAATTTTATTTATTTATTTTTTTTTTGACAGGCAGAGTGGACAGTGAGAGAGAGAGACAGAGAGAAAGGTCTTCCTTTTGCCATTGGTTCACCCTCTGATCCTCGCTGATCCAATGGCAGGAGCCAGGTACTTATCCTGGTCCCCCATGGGGTGCAGGGCCCAAGCACTTGGGCCATCCTCCATTGCATTCCCTAGCCACAGCAGAGAGCTGGCCTGGAAGAGGGGCAACTGGGACAGAATCCGGCACCCCGACCGGCACTAGAACCCGGTGTGCCGGCGCTGCAAGACGGAGGATTAGCCTATTGTGCCGCGGCGCCGGCCGATAATAGCATCTTTAAGCCTAGGAGACAACCATGTTTGTGAACTAACCACGTTTTGTTAAAAGATAAAGCTCCATAAATGTAATTGCAAATATTTTCAGAGACTTGCAACTGGAAGGCAAACGTACTTAAAATAGCTGCTCAGGATAACTCAGCAATTTACAACGGTTTACAAAGTACAGCAGAGTTTCAAATTTTTATCCTTTCCGGCCTCAGGACCTTGGATAGAGGGCAGTCGTGATGAAAGAACTCTGAGTTTAACAAGTTTAACAAGGCATGCATTGTAGAACAGAGATCTTAAACAGGTGTGCAGAGAAACTTACATAATTTAGCAAGCAAGAGAATGGAACCCTTAAGGTGGGAAGGGCCAAGAGGCCTGCTCTTTCAAGTCTAGAAAAACTTGAGAGGGTTGGAACCCATGGCCCTGCACAGTTCTGGTGGTGGTTACAAACGGCAGTTGAAAATGAGCCATGTGATCAAAACGGCGGCCAAGGAGGGAGTGGAACAGAGGTTCGGGGACCCTTTTAAAAAGCAGGGAAGGCCTTCGGAGGTCAGGCGCTAGTCACTCACTGCCAGACTTCCCCCACTCCCCCAGGTGTGAGACAAAGGCGAGCGGCCGCGGACAGAGGGCGGGCCAGGCCAGCCGCAGGGCCCAGGCAGAGAGCCGGACAGTGAGCGGCCTGGGCCCTTGTAGGATGCTCCTCCCGCGTGACTGGCAGAGACAGCAGGGTGCGGCCAGGGTGGCCGGGAGACAGGAAAGCGGGCGAAACTCTGCCTCCGCGAATCACCGGGGAGGAGCCCTGGGTTCCATGAGACGAGGCCAGAGAAAGGCTGGAAGCAGCGTTCGCAGAGTGACGCTGCTCAGAACTCACCCTGGTCCTCGCCTGTGTCCCACGTTGACGCCACCTCTGGACGTGACCAGGATTGGTTGCTCGGAGTTTTGGTCATCCCACGAGAAAGGGAAGAGCCGTGAGCCGCTAGCGAAGTTTGCAGAAGAGAAGTAGTTAAGAGAGTACACCTGGCAGGCCAGGTGGGTGTCTCAGTAAAGAACTCAGAGCCAGGGGCCGGCGCTGTGGCGTGGTGGGTAAAGCTGCCGCCTGCAGTGCTGCCATCCCATATGGCCGCCGGTTCTAGTCCTGGCTGCTCCACTTCTGATCCAGCTCTCTGCTCTGGCCTGGGAAAGCAGTACAAGATGGCCCAAGTCCTTGGGCCCCGCACCCACGTGGGAAGACCTGGAGGAAGCTCCTGGCTTCTGGCTTCCGATCTGCAGCCAACTGGGGAGTGAACCAGCAGATGAAAGATTCTCTCTCTCTCTCGCTCTCTCTCTCTCTGCCTCTCCTTCTCTCTGTGTAACTGACTTTCAAGTAAATAAATAAATCTTAAAAAAAAAAAAAAAACAGGCCAGCGCAATTAGCTCAATAAGCTAATCCTCCGCCTGTGGCACCAGCACCCCAGGTTCTAGTCCCGATTCGGGCGCCGGATTCTGTCCCAGTTGCCCCTCTTCCAGCCCAGCTCTCTGCTGTGGCCTGGTAGGGCAGTGGAGGATGGCCCAAGTGCTTGGGCCCTGCACCCGCATGGGAGACCAGGAGGAAGCACCTGGCTCCTGCCTTTGGATTGGCGCAGTGCACTGGCCACAGCGGCCACTTAGGGGGTGAACCAACGGAAAAAGGAAGACCTGTCTCTGTGTGGCTCTCTCTGTCTAACTCTGCCTGTCAAAAAAAAAACAAAAACAAACAAAAAACAAAAAAAAAAAAACAAAAACAAAAAAAAACTCAAACCCCCCCCCCAAAAATAGCCTTTAAAGCAAATAAAAATGACATTAGTAAGGCAATATTTCACAAAGCTAATAAGGAAGGGGAAAGATTACTCCTGAGAAAAGGAGTAGAGAAAGGTTTTTGTTATTATTATGTACTTTGCAAGGCAGACACATAGAGACAGATAGACAGCAAGAAAGCTCGCATCTGTTTGTTCATTTCCAAAATGCCTGCAAGGGCAGGGAGTAGGCCAGGCTAAAGCCAGGAGCTCAGGTCTTCCATGTGGATGGCAGGAACCCAATTAATTGTGCCATTGCCATTGCCTCCCAGGTTTTGCTTTAGCAGGAAGCTAGAATCAGGAACGGGAGCCAGCTGGGTATTGAACTCAGATACTCCGATATGGGATGCTGGCTTCTTAACCAGTATCTTAATCTTATGCCTAACACCTGTGCCCTTGAGGGAGGTTTGGAAAAGGGTTACAGCAGATTCTTTTGCTAATATGCAGCCAGAGCCTGAGTTCAGTGGCACTCCACTGACCCCCAGAGAAGTCAGCCTGAATCTTTCTAGTTCTTTGTTTCATTCATTCCAGAAATATTTATTAAGCATTTTCCAGATGACAGTGTTATAGGATCTGAGCTGCATTGATAAGAGCAGTTTCTTATCTAAGAGTGAAGACTGGGGCAAAGATCAAATGAGGAGTGAATTACTGTGGAATCTTGAGTAATGGTGGTTCTGAAAGAAATTGTTAAATTCTATTTAGATGAGATCTTTCCATTAGGAAATGTCTTTTCATCTCTGTATGTAGAACTTTTTTTTTTTTTTAATATGAGAAATCTAGGTATCAGGGTACTACATTGTGCCACATTTAGGTTTCAGGGCCAGGAAAGACTCCTAGGGTGCTTACTTAGTTGTGTGATCTTAGAAAAACACTGCATATAGGATACAAAGTGAGTCAGATATGTATTTTAAATTTTATAGTTGCCACACACACAAAAAAGTAACATATAAAATTAATCTCCATGGTATTGTATTTAACCCAGTAAATCCAATATATTCTTATTTTTCATGTATAGTCAATATCAAAATTATTGATGATATTTTTGCTTTTCTTGATACTAGATCTCCAATATCTGGTATGTATTTTACTCTTACAGTGCATCTCGGTTTGGATCTGAAGGAGTCACAGTTCAAGTGTTTGGTAGCCACATGTTGCCACTGCATTTGACAGTGTGTATGTCACAGTGTAAATAATGCATGTATATGCATAATGTAAATAATGAGTAAAACTACTGAGGGCAAACAAGATTTGAGAAAAAAAGTAAATGGTTTGTATCTGCCTGTCCTAGCTCAATAATATATATGGACTTAATTTTATAATCTGACAACATAAATTTAATAGAATAGCAATATTATTATTTCATACAGTTTTTTTCATTGTTTTTAATAATCTTATTTTTCAGAACAGTTTTATGTCACAGCACAATTGAGTGAAATGTACATATTTTTCTATAAACACCCTGCCTGTCCTCTCTGCATGTATAACTTCCTCCATTACCAACATTCCCCTTCAGAGTAGCACATTTGTTATAAGTGATGAGCCCACATTGACATATTGCTTGGTTTTTTTAGGATCTGTCTCCTGAACTCCTGCAGACATTTAATCTTCAAAGTTGTGCTGTTTTAGATGAAACTGCACATGAATGAGTGAACTTGACTAGTATAAGAGCACCATCTTGTGGTGTGATGTTGTGTTTGCACTGTTGAAACAGAATTTAGGGAAAAGAGAATACCAAACACAAACTTCCAGTCCAGCTCTCTACTGTGGCCCAGGGAGGCAGTGGAGGATGGCCCAAGTGCCTGGGCCCTGCACCCACATGGGAGACTAGCAAGAAGCCCCTGGCTCCTGACTTTGGATCGGCGCAGTGCGCCGGCTGTAGCGGCCATTTGGAGGGTGAAGGAAGACCTTGTTCTCTGTCTCTCTCTCTCTCACTGTCTAACTCTGCCTGTCAAAAGAGAGAGAGAGAGAGAGAGAGAGCGAATACCAAACACAGTGGGATTATGAGTTTAGGAATTTAAGATGAACTATCACTATTTTCCTTTACATACAGTCTTTATGGCAGGTATCATGGTGTATGAACCAGGCTTACAAAATTCTTGGACAGATGACTCCAAAATGCTAATCTCTGAGAACACTCCAACATGAACCTCAGCGAATGGCAAGTAGGATTCAGTGCCAGTATTTTAACATGGCATTTGCTTCTGTGAAATGTCTGAGGCTGGAGTTGAGAACACACACAAAGGACTGCTACATACGAACACATTGAGATTTTAGAAGAAACATTAAAATATCATTTCCACCATCCATGAATGATAATAGAGCTACAACAGGAAGGCCAAATCTGAAATGTATTCATTAGAATAAAGTCTTCAGTTGTCGCTCCCCGTCTTCGTGGAGGAGCAACACAGGACCCTGCTTTGTTCTTTCGTCTGCTCGGCCCTCCCCGGGTTTGCTGCTGGTTCTTCCCGGGTTGGCTACTGTCCCTTCCACCTCCGTGGAAGGGCGGTTCCCCCTGCCACATTCCCCACTTCCGCAGGGGAGCGGCACACCGCCGGCCGGCTCTTCTCGGGGGCTGCACAGGTGTTCCCTCAGCTAGATGTTCCCCTTAGATGTTCCTCGTGCATGCCGTCTCTCTCCTCCTTTATAGTCCTCCTCCGCCAATCCCAACTCGGCTGCCCACACGCCGAGTACGCTGCTCTCCTCCAAATCAGTAGCAACTCCTGCAGCTTGTCAAGTTGGTGAGAGGCAGCTGGGTAGAAGCTGTTTACTTCTCTCCCAGCGCCATATTGTGGGAGAGCAGATGCATAGAATAAGTCTTAATTCCAGTAACTCAGTCTAGTCCGGTTTGCTCCCCACATTCAGTGAAGTCCACCTGCCATTAAATGGCCACTACAGTTAACTGTCAATACTGGCTGGTCCCACACAATGTTAGGATCACCAGGAATGACCATGTAAATATAGAGACTGCTTACTGTCTCGACCATAAACAGGAGGTCATTCTATAGCTGGTCTCCCAACTTAGACCACATTTGGCCAGGTTCAGTTTAAAGGCCCTTCTGAATGCATTTAATCATGTATTCTTGTCACAATATGAATAATTGAAGGAGTCCTTCAAGAAAGATTTTACTTAATTTTATCTATAAACAGAATTTCCCTGGATGCCATAATACAGATAAAGAAGTGCCAGTAAGCTTTAAGCCAGTACTATGACTCCCTGTTAAAACAACAAAAAAAAGAGTGACTTAAAAATACTACACCAAAGGCATTTCAAAAAGTGTATGGAAAACAGAATTCAAAGATAAGTTTATTTTGGCATGAACATTTTTGAAATCTATGTATATGAGGAGTCTTCAAAAAGTTCATGGAAAATACATATTATGGAAAATTATGCAAAGGTTTCAATGTTCTAAATTTCACAGTAACAATGGAAATACTAACTAGCATAAGTTATTCATTCTCTTCTATGTAGGAGGCTTGAAATTTCACAGTACATTTTTTTAGAAAAATTATTTAATTTAATTTTATTTGAAAGGCAGAGAGACAGAAATCTTCCAACCAGTGATTCACTCCCCAAAATGCTCACAACAGCCAGGGCTGAGACAAGCCAAAGCCAAGAGCCTAGAACTCCATCTGTGTCTCCAATGTAGGTGGCAGGGACCCAAGTACTTGAACCATCATGTGCTGTCTCTCAGGGTAGAAATAAGCAGGCAATTGGATCAGAATCAGAGTAGCCAGGACTCAAACCAGGAACTCTGAAAAGGGAAAAAGGTATCCCAAGCAGCAACTTAACTATTGTGCCAGACATTTACTCCAAAATAGCCTTTCTTATGATCTGCTGAGACCCAAACCAAAATAGGCTTGGAATATGAGTTTTTTTTTTAGGGAATACCTTACAGCCACAAGGTTGCTCTTGTAGCTAAACTAGTATTAGTTCTAGCCCAAGCAATCACATGTCTTAGAATCTCAGGGAACAAATAATCTCAATATTGGCATAGCCAAAGCATATGAGATGACATCTGCTCATTTTGCACTTGCCAACTTCTACTAGAAGACTAGACCCACATTATATGAGTAATTTCTTACTGCATAATAAATGATCCCAAAAATCAGAAGTTTAAAACACCAAACATTTATAATCTTAGTTTTATTTTTTGCAGCTCAGGAATTTGGGTGCAAGTTAGCTGGGTGACTCAGGTTGCACTCAGTATAACTGCAGGGACTAAAGTTGCCTACAGCTTTGATTTCAGCTAAAGGGTCTACATTCAGGAAGACTCGCAGACATAGAAATTGGCAGAAAACCTCAGTTTTTCTCCATTTGGGACATTTTTTAAGACCTCAGTTCCTTATAATGTGCTATTCCCATGGGTAGCTCAAAAGTGATAGCTACACTCTCCTAGAGAGGTTATCCAAAGAAGAGAAATAGAGGCAGAAATCACAATGTCTTTTTTTTTTTTTTTTTTTTTTACAGGCAGAGTGGACAGTGAGAGAGAGACAGAGAGAAAGAGAAAGGTCTTCCTTTTGCCGTTGGTTCACCCTCCAATGGCCACCGCGGCCGGCGCGCTGCGGCCGGCGCGCTGCGGCCGGTGCACCACGCTGATCTGAAGGCAGGAGCCAGGTGCTTCTCCTGGTCTCCCATGGGGTGCAGGGCCCAAGCACCTGGGCCATCCTCCACTGCACTGCAGGGCCACAGCAGAGAGCTGGCCTGGAAGAGGGGCAACCGGGACAGAATCCGGCGCCCTGACCGGGACTAGAACCCAGTGTGCTGGCGCCGCTAGGTGGAGGATTAGCCTATTGAGCCGCGGTGCCAGCCACAATGTCTTTTGTAAGTTTGTATTGAAAGGGATATGCCGTCATTTCTACTGTATTCTATTAGCCACATACATCAAGACAAATATGGTGTAGGAGGGCATTACACAAGAGGTACGAATACTAGAGACTGAAATCACTGGAGACTATTTTGGAAGGAAGTTACCAGTCAGCTTTCTGGCCTCCAGCGACTCATATCCCTTTTATATGAAAAATACTCCCTCTGTAAACTTTCAAAAGTTTCATTCCATTATAGCCTCAGCTCAAAACCCAGAATCTCCATACAACTACAAAACACTGATGAAAGAAATTGAAGACACTAATAAAGATATACTATGTTCATGGTTTAGAAGAACTGATATATTGCTTTAAAGATTTATTTATTTATTTGAAAGTCAGAGTTACACAGAGAGAGAAGGAGAGGTGGAGAGAGAGGTCTTCCATCTGCTGGTTCACTCCCCAATTGGCTGCAATGGCCAGAGCTGCAATGATCTGAAGCCAGGAGCCAGGAGCTTCCTCAGGGTATTCGCATGCAGGTGCAGGGGCCCAGGGACCTGGGCCATCTTGTACTGCTTTCCCAGGCCATAGCAGAGAGATGGATTGGAAGTGTAGCAGACATGACTTGAACTGGCGCCCATATGAGATGCCAGCACTGCAGATCCATACATGCTGGCAGCTGTGCTGCGGGCATCAAGTAGAACAAGGGCGAGGAGCGGCTGTGCTCCACCATCGGGGTCGACAGCTCTGTCTACAGGAAACACCCCCATTTCGCCAGGCGTCTTCGCGAGGCCGTGCGGAGGCTGGTACCCGACTGTAATGTCTGCTTCCTCCGCTCCGAGGACAGCAGTGGCAAAGGGGCGGCCATGGTGACAGCGGTGGGGCTGACCGACACCGAGCCCGCCAGAAGACCTTGGAATCCCTGAAGCTGAGCCACGAGCAGCTGCTAGAGGTGAAGAGGAGGATAAAGTTAGAAATGCAGTGTGGCCTGAGCAAAGAGACCCACGTCGTTGCCCCTGGCAAGATGCTGCCCACCTACGTGTGTGCCACTCCCGATGGCACAGAGAAAGGAGACTTCCTGGCCTTGGACCTCGGAGGAACAAACTTCCAGGTCCTTCTGGTGCGGGTGTGGAACGGGAAGTGGCACGGAGAGGAGATGCCCAAGATCTACTGCATCCCACAGGAGGTCATGCGCAGCACAGGGGAGGAGCTCTTTGACCGCATCGTGCAGAGCATCGCCGGCTTGCTGGAGTACATGGGCACGGAGGGTGGTGTGTCGCTGCCTCTGGGCTTCACCTACTCCTTCGCGTGCCAGCAGAGCAGCCTGGACGAGAGCATCCTCCTCAAGTGGACGACAGGCTTTCAGGCGTCCAGCTGCGAGGGTGAGGACGGAGTCAGCCTGCTGAAGGACGCCAGCCGCCGGCCAGAGGGGTTTGCCCTGGCCGTGGTTGCTGTGGCGAATGACGCAGTGGGAACCATGACGACCTGTGGCCATGAAGACCCTCGCTGCGAAGTCGGCCTCATTGTTGGCCCGGGCAGCAATGCCCGCTACATGGAGGGGATGCTTGGAGAAGGAACCACAGCAATTGCTGCTGTTTAGAGCCTCCTGGGGCAATAAGGAAACCAAAGGATTCACTTCAAAGGGACTCATTGTGTAGTCGTCTTTATTCTCTTTTTAGGGTAGTTAGTACTCACGGTACTTCAAAGTTCTGAGAAGATGAAGGAAGCCACTAAAAATGCATAAAAATTGCTATCTAATCATCAACAACAAACCAAAATGATGCGATTAAATAACCAAACAAAACCTCAGGTACTTTTTTAAAATGTATTTGTGCCCTCCTAGCAAATTACACCTTGGGTTTGTTTAGTAAATGTTTTGCAGGAAGTGTCCATGTGTTTTCTTAGACTGAACTGGCATTGGAGTGCTGACCGTTTTTGTGTTTTTAAACACAGTATTTATTTCAAACTGTTTGGAGAGGTGGCAGTGTGATAAAAGCTTCCCTACTCTATTCTTAAAGAGTATGATTAATTCTGAACCCCCAAGGCCCAGTTCTACCCCCGGATACGCACAACCACAGCCATTCAACCTGGAGACACGTTGGGGCTGGAGTTGTGGCTCAGTGGGGCGAGACTGCCAGCATCCCATATGGGCACCAAGTCAAGCTGCCCCACTCTCAATCCAGCTCCAGGCTAATGCACCTGGGAAAGCAGTGGAAGATGGCCCAAGTGCTTGGATCTCTGCCACCTACATGGGGGACCCAGACAAAGCGCCTGCCTCCAGGCTTTAGCCTGGCCCAGCCCAGCCATTACGGCCATTGGGGAAGTGAGCCAGTAGGTGGAAGATGTCTGTCTCTCCTCTCTTTGAAACTCTAAACTCTAAAACCTGGACACATGTGACAGAGAATGGCCTTGTAATACTACTAAATAAAATGCGAAGATTGGAACAGGGAGTTTGAAGGAAACTCAAGACTCCGCTGCACCTGCCTTTTGCACATTCTCCGAACTTTTTACTACAAACAGGGCTTGATTGTCATTTTTTAACAAAGCAAAGTAAAAAAATAAGTGAAAACTGTCCAGAACCTCCTGGGAAGCTCAGAAGGAATGAGCCAGATCCCTCTCGTTTGTTCCAGGCTCCCTTTGTCTGAGGTAGCTCCTCTGCTATCCCCCATCTGCACCAATTGAACAAAAATGTGAGCACCTCCCTCTCTAATGAAAGCCAAACGCAACCTGTAGGTCTGTGGGTCGCGAAAAGGTACCTATGAAAGAGATGAATTTCAGCCAGCGCCATGGCTCAGTAGGCTAATCCTCCACCTTGCGGCGCCGGCACACCAGGTTCTAGTCCCAGTCGCGGCGCCAGATTCTTTACCGGTTGCCCCTCTTCCAGGCCAGCTCTCTGCTGTGGCCAGGGAGTGCAGTGGAGGATGGCCCAACTGCTTGGGCCCTGTACCCCATGGGAGACCAGAAGCACCTGGCTCCTGGCTTAGGATCAGCGCGGTGCGCCAGCCGCGGCGGCCATTGGAGGGTGAACCAACGGCAAGAAACCTTTGTCTCTCTATCCACTGTTAAAAAAAAAAAAAAAAAAAAGATGAATTTCAACTTGAAAATTAGACTTCATCTGTGAAATTACATACTTCTTAAAGGTAGTCAAGATATATGTGTAACTATTGAAGATGTGTTGTTGGCTTCTAAAAAGGAATGATGGAAATGCATTTTAAAAATGGTTGTGTTCCCAGCGTTTGGTTGACAGCTCCTTGCTGCTGCGGCTGATGCTTTGCTTGGTGAAAATACAGTGGATCTCCACCTTTGGGGTGTGCTAAAGAGTGCATCATCTCAAATCCTTGAGCACTCAGTCTAGTGAAGATGTTGTCATGTACAATAAAGAACTAGTTGAATTAACCATGTGCCAACTATTATTAATAACTTTTTTCAAAAAAAGAATTTTATCCTACACATTTTTCTGGTATTTAGTTATATACGAATTAAGAAATGGCAGCATTTGCTTAGTCTTATTACATTGAACCATTCATTTCAAGAACCAACTCCATAATGACTGAATTAAGCTAGTGAGAAGAAAACAGATCAGGTAGAAGCCAGAGAATTTCAGAAGTTTTTAATACACACAGATCCACTCAATGCCTTCATACACACATAGTTCTCTCCAGTTTCCTAATTCATTTGTCTAAAAAACAAAAGGTAGGGGTTGACACTGTGGTATACCAAGTGAAGCTGCTGCCTGAGACCTGCATCCTTCTTGTGAGCGCTGGTTTGAGTCCCAACTGCTCGACTTCCAATCCAGCCTCCTGCTAATGCACCTGGGAAAGCAGAAGATGGCCCAAGTATTTGGGCCCAGCCACCCATAAAGGAGACCCAGATGGGAGTTCCGGGTTCCTGGCTTCAGCCTGGCCCAGCCTTGATCATTGTAGACATTTGGGAGAGTAAATCAATGGATGAAAGATCTGTCTCCCCCTCTAACTCTTTCAAATAAATAAACCTTAAACAAGCAAACAAAAAACAAGAAAAAAATTATGAAATATAGGAATTTTATTTGTTACAGAAATAAAATTATATGTATATACAAGACAGTTTCTTATTTTGACAGATAAAATACAAAAATATTTACATATACACCAACATTAAAACAGACTTCAGAAATAAGGAAAACTGGAAGATTTTTTTACAAAGGATTTTTGGAAAATATACACATGGAGAAAAAGGTTTAAGAAAGCTGATACAACATTTAAATTAACACACACTAGAAACTGATATTTCTATTGTCATTAACTCAGTAAATCAAATAAAATGTCTCAAATGCTAATAGATGGTAGACCAGATTTATGTTTTAAGACTGCCTAGGTAAAATCTCATGGCCTTCCTTTATCATAAAAATCTAATAAATTCAATTTTATCCTCTGAATCACAAATACCAGAACTCTAGTTCTTCCTAAAATATTTAATTTCCTGACTTGTCCTGAGAATTTTAAGCCCATTCACATGAAATTGTAAAATGTTTTTAAAAGGCTGTATGTTCTCTATCCACTGAGAAAATCCTGGATACTACATTGATTTCACCATAAAACTGAGAATCACATACAACTATTTTTATTTTAAATTAAAACCTAACTGTTTTCTAACTAACCCTCATGGCCAGCTACAATTAATTTTATAAAACATCACAACCTTCGTAAATTCTTTTTGCTTTTTTTAGTTCCAGGCAGAGTACCCATTTTACAGCTGGCTTTTAGGAGTTTTCCGTTTGAGCAGTCTTTGGTGGTATGATAATCGCACAGACACCTTGTACAATAATCAAATCCACAGCCTTCTCGTTTGCACGTTGCCCGTTGTAAATAGCAATCATATTTTGCAGGTGAATTACAGCGAATACAGGCTTTGAGGCTCTCATTCTTTTTCAAGGTCTTAGCAACCTGTAAGAGGAAAAAAAAATCCATAAATAAACTATAGTAAGGATTGAATACTTCATGGCCACATACAAGGCAGCTCCTGTGCTTGCTTACTGTTCAGTGGATAAGAGACAGCATTTGTCAAGTGGTTCCAGGGCCACTTCTAAGTATGCTATTTTACCTCATAATGCTACCTGCACTCAGTGCCTAATTAAATATCATCTTTTCTAGGAATTCTTTGTAGAATCAGAGAGAGGCTGGTTGCTCTTTCTCCTCTAATTCTTTCAGTACCTGATAGATAACATACTCAATTAACACTTGCTGAACTTACATGTTGTATTAACCATATCATCAACACTGAAGACAAACAAAATTATCATACAATTCACATTTATTGACCAACATCAGTCAAAATCTTAGGTAAAATTATGGTTTTCTAAATTAAGCTTGCAATCATTTAATAGACTTCTAAATTTTGAAAGTTGGCTTTTTTCTGCTTAACTCTCTTCTTTAGTTATTAGCAGCATTAATGCAAAAAGTAATATTCAATAGTGTTAAAGAAATTTAAAGTCAAGAGTTTTTCATTACTTTATTGCTTCAAAGGTAGAGTTTCATTGAACTTTCATCAACAATGCCAAACAGTAGATTCTTGGTACAACACTGGTCCCTCATTTCTCACTTTAAACTCTTCTAACAATATTGTTTCTGATTTACATATTAAACAAAAAATTACCTCAGAGAATTCACTGTGTCGACTGTAAGCAGAACCCTTCTGATCACCATGATTGGATAACTTGGTTTGAACATTCTTCTGGGGAGGAGTCTGGGTTGCTGATTTTTGAATGGAAGCTAATGCAGTTCTGAACATAACGTACTCTCTGGTTGAAGCATGTGGTGAAAATTTTATGTTGTTTTCCTAATTAAGATAATATTAAAAGGGCTTAAAATACTTTCTCCTATATTAATTCCACAGTCACTGTGACTGTAAATCTAAGGGTACATAAGAACGTGGTAGACTAAGTTCCATATCCAATTTACCTACACATGCTTAGTTAGACATTGCCACACATACCCATTAATTTAAACCTAATATTGACAGAAAGTGTAAGCCAGAAACTGAGAAGTCACTTTACATGCATAGTCTATATGGCACTTGTTACACAATTTATAATTAATCATATAGAAAAGTACTACTGCTAAAACAAGTTATTCTTTACACAACCAGTACATGACACAGTCCAGTCACTTCAGTGTTATGAATAGATTTAAAAACTAATTTTTAGGTAAGTTTTTTATTACCACAAGTTTATTAATAAAAATGAAACTTGAATAAAATTTGGACCCAAGTCTGTCCAAATATTGACTTGTATTTTCAGAAACATTTAGTTTTTATAAAACTGCCTTTGCCTTCCACAAAAACAATCTTCAAATTTACACATCTCCTGTAATTGAAGGAATAAAAAGTACAAATCAAAAATTTTTTCTAAATTATAAAAACATACACACACAGATGCCAAGATTCACTATCTGTGGGCTGAGTAACTTTAACCTTATTTGCACATTCTATTTCTAGGAGAACCCAATAAAATAAATGACTGAGGTGGGATTCCCTTCTCTCTAAATTTATATATTTGAGAGGCAGAGACACAGAGAGGAGGCAGACACAGCAAAGTGCTGGTTCTCGCCTCAAATGGCCACAATGGACTGGGCCTTTCTGATCCTAAAGCTAGAAGCTGGAAACCTAATACAATATCCCAATTACTTGGGATATGACTGTTACCTCCCAAGGTCTGCAAAAGCAGAAAGCTGGAATCAGGAGCTGGATATCATTGAACCCAGACATTCCCATGTAGAAAGTGGGTACTGTAATTTCTACACTAAATGCTCTTTATTCCTTTTTCTTTAATTTGTAGTTGCTTTTGTATGAGTTCTAGAAGACTGAAATGGGACCAGCACTGTGGTGTAACAGGCTAAGCCTCTACCTGCAGCACTGGCACTGGTTTGAGTCCTGGCTGCTCCACTTCCAATCCAGTGCCTTGCTGATGGCCTGGAAAGCAGTGGAAGACAGCCCAAGTGCTTGGGCCTCTGCATCCATGTGGGAGACCCAGAGGAAGCTCTTGGTTCCTAGCTATGGATCGGCCCACATAGGGTTGTTATAGCCATTTGGGGAGTGAACCAGCAGATGGAAGACCTCTGCCTCTCAAATAAATAAATAAATTTAAAAAATAGAAATTTTTTTTTAAGATTTATTTGAAAGTCAAAGTTACACAGAGAGAGAAGAGGCAAAGACAGAGGGAGAGAGAGAGGTCTTCCATCTGCTGGTTTACTCCCCAGTTGGCTGCAACAGCCAGAGCTGCACCAATCCAAAACCAGGAGCTTCCTCCAGGTCTCCCACTGGAGTGCAGGGGCCCAAGGACCTGGGCCATCTTCTACTGCTTTCCCAGGCCGTGGCAGAGAGCAGGCCTGAAGTGGAGCAGCTGGGACTCAAACTGGCACTCACATGGGATGCTGGTACTGCAGGTGGTGGCTTCACCCACTAAGCCACAGCACTGGCCGCCTGAAATGTTTTTAAATGGTTTCCAGATTACCCGTTTTCCTATTTTTCTCTCATTTCTAAAAGAGCAGTTCATTTTTAAAAGAAACATCAACAAAGACTTACAGTAACTTTTTGCATTGCTTTACTGTACAACTGGAATGCCCCTTTATCATCTTCTAGAATTTTCTTCCAAGTTGTGCTCACTTTAGATACACTAGGAAAAAAATGATAAAATAAGGAAATAATTAAAGCCCAACAAGGATGTTGACTACAGCAGAGAAACATTAACAGAACAAAATAAATTCGTATTAGTAGCACTTTTCAATCATACCTGATTATACATTAGAATTGGTCAGGGCTCTTAGGATTTAAGGATGCTCCTGTCCTAGTAATTTGGTTAATTGGTCTAAAATGGGGTCTAGAGTTCTCCTTTTTAAAAAAAACTCCTTGCCGGCGCTATGGCTCAATAGGCTAATCCTCCACCTAGCGGCGCTGGCACACCGGGTTTTAGTCCTGGTCGGGGCACCGGATTCTGTCCCGGTTGCCCCCCTTCCAGGCCAGCTCTCTGGTATGGCCCGGGAGTGCAGTGGAGGATGGACCAAGTGCTTGGGCCCTGCACCCCATGGGAGACCAGAAGCACCTGGCTCCTGCCTTCGGATCAGTGCGGTGCGCCGGCCGCGGCGGCCATTGGAGGGTGAAGTGTCAAAGGAAGACCTTTCTCCCTCTCTGTCCACTCTGCCTGTCCAAAAAAAAAAAAAACCTCCCCATCAATGACTGCTTTGGGGCAGGTAATACAGTGCAAAGGATTAAGCTGCCATATGTGACACCAGTATAACTTGAGTCTAGCTATTCTGCTTCCAATTCAGTTTCCTGCTAATGTGCCTGTGAAGGGAATGGAAGATGGCTGAAGTACCTGGGCCCCAGCCACCCAAGTGGAGCGCTTGATTCTTGGCTTCTGCTTGGCCCGGACCTGGCTATATGGTCATTTAGGGTGTTGAAACAGTGGATGGAATATCTCTCTGTATCTCACTCTTAAATACATAAAGAAAACTTTTGTTTTTAGACTGCTTTGTATTTTATTAATTTTTTGAGCAATATTTGCAAACATTAGTAAGTGGACCCCATGGCATATTTGATACTCTCTGGTATAAGCTGCAGACAATTTTCAAAGCATTCTAGGACACACTGCTACTAGAAGTCAATTTTAAAAACCAACTATGCTAATACAGAAAGTAGAGTCTGTGATTCCGATTATCCCTCAAGCAGCTGATCAACAAAAATCAACAGTCATATCTTTTTTACTTAGCTTTATTTCATGAAGACTAGCATGAAGCCTCACCTCAAAAGAATACCTCTAAATAATTTATGTAAATGGAAAAATTTCAATCTAGTGATGCTGAATCCAACATAGCTCAATATTCTGTAAAATCCTCTAGATTTCTTCTCAAAGATACCTCTTCTAACTAATTTCTCTTGGTAGAAAGAATAGTTTGTATAAGGCTTCTAAAGTCATAACGGAATCTCTACTTGTAGATCACCATAGTTTAACCCCAGGAGAGCTCTACATCAAAAATAACTCCAAAAGAACAGAAATTTCATAATTTCAAGTGTAGCAAAAGTTGTATATATTGGAGCTGTTGACTGAAACTGGGCTTTTTATAGTTAAGCCCCAAAGATGTAAAATGTATTAGAAATTAATACACAAAGCCCAATCTAAAAGTATTCTGACATTAATCTTTGCATGAGCTGGATGTATTAAACCATCAACAAAAAATATTGAATCGATCATCCCAATCTACTCAAAACAATAACACTTACTTGATTAAGTCCATGTCACTGAGCTGTGTCAAAATATTTGCTAAGAGATGTCTGAGTCCCCTTCGAAAGAGTTCACTGAGGATATCTACACAATCTAGGCCCATTTTCCTGCCAATTAAATTTTGTAGTTGAAAATTTCCACTAGATATAATTTCCTTCAGCATCTCTCGATCTATTGTAGGATTTCGTCTGGCATTCTTTTTTAATGTTGAACAAACCACTTTTTCAAAATGAAGAACAGGCAGCAAGTTTTTGTTGGGATATTGGTCCGGGCTTTGCATCTGTAGCAGGCAGGATTGTGGACTGTGACTGAAATTTTCCTCCAGGGCAAGACTACCTTCTTCATGTTCACCAAGTCCACTATGTTGAGAAAATGAGGAATAGCCACTGTCTTCATAAAATCTACTGGTCTCTTGTTCTTCTATTTCATTTGAACTATTAAGTGTCTGTTGTACATGTTGATTTTCCTTGTTATGCAAGGGCTTGCTTTTGGTTTCAAGTTCTGCAATTCTAGGGCTCACAATCGGAGACCCAATATATGAAAGCCTTTCATAGTCTTTAGTGCAGTCTTTACATGAACCTTGCAAAAAAGCAGGAGTATAAGAACCTTGTCTTCCACTGTCATCAGGTTTTACCAGTGTAAGCTCAGAATGAACATGGTTACAATTAAAATCGCACTTCATTTTGACAGGTAAGATGGAACTTTCTTCTTTACAACCTACAAAGAAACAACATTTACTTTTAATCACAAAATTTTCATATATCTCTGCTCAGAATATAAGGACTTACCTTGCATTCTCTTAACAGCCCAATGCATATTTTCCTAGAAGTTGTTAAATTATCCAAGTTTAATTATTGAGAAATGAAAATAATGTGGAAATATTGCTTAAATATTTAAGTACTGATGAAGCACTTCAGGAGGCCAGTGCTGTGATGTAGTGGGTAAAGCTGCCGCCTTCAGTGCTGGCATCCCATATGGGTGCCAGTTCCAGTCCTGGCTGCTCCACTTCCAATTCAGCTCTCTGCTGTTGCCTGGGAAAGCAGTGGGAGATGGCCCAAGTCCTTGGAGCCTTGCACCCATGTAGGAGACCCAGAAGAAGCTCCTGGATTCGGATTAGCGCCAACTCCAGCCACTGTGGCCATCTGGAGAGCGAACCAGCAGATAGAAGACTGTCTCTCTGCCTCTCCTCTGTAACTCTACCTTTCAAATAAATAATCTTTAAAAAAAAAAAAAAAAGGTACTTGAGAATAGACTACTGGATCTGCATAACTACAACATTTGACTACTTAGCCTATATCTAAGTAAAAAAGACAGCTGAAAAAGAGGCTACATCATAAGCATCTGTACTTTTGGAACAAATGAGGAAATCAAGTATATCAAAAAGGTCAAGTTAATTTTGGTCCAAAAGACTTTGAAATCCATGCAGTTTTTTCACAGTAAGCATTTTCTGAAGACTTTTCATATTGTATCAGTGTTTATATCCTGAATTTGAAATGACATTTTTCTAACTTAAAAATCTACCTGAAGGGGCCAGCATGTGGTACAGTGGATAAAGCTACAGGCTATGATCCCATATGGATGCTAGTTTGTGTTCTGGCTGCTCCACTTTCAACCCAGCTCCCTGTTCTCCTTGTTAATGCCTGGGAAAAGCAGTGGAGGATGATGCTGGGGTTCCTGCTACCCATGTGGGAGACCAGACGAAGTTCCTGGCTTTGACTTTGTTTCAGAAGTGGCTGCTGTGGCCATCTTGGGGAATGAACAGGTGGATGGAAGATATCTCTTACCTCTGTAACTCTTTCAAATAAATAAATAAGTCTTTTTAAAATCTACCTGAATTCCCTTTGTTCTCATCTCCAATGTTTTATTTTGATTGATGGTCTAGTGACAATAAGGTATTTAAAGTGTGTACCTACCCAACCATAGGGTAAATTCAAGGAATGGGACATTTCCCTTTACCTTGCCTAAACTTTCAAGAAAATCTGCTCTTTAACAGTGTCTGGGAGCAAGTCCCACCTTTGCTAGTGATGAAGTTTCCTGCTAATATGCAACTTGGGAGACAGCAGATGATGGCTCAAGTACTCACATCTCCACCACCACCTCTGTGGGAGACTAGGATGGAGTTTCTGGTTCCTGGCTTTGACTTGGCTAACCCTGGCTATTGTAGGTATTTGGGGAGTGAACCAGTGGATGAAGATTTCTCTGCCTTTTGAGTAAAAACAGAAGTGTTTATAATAGGAGTTGAGTTGTGTACCCAGCACTAGGATGACTGCAGTGAAAATGAAGATAACTGGCTAGATTGAAGATACACTATGTAGGAGGGTAAGGTTAAAATTAGTTTGCTGATGTACAGGATTTGAAGAAGTAGAGTGAACAAAATGCCCTGGGTTTAAGGTTTGTATTGTGGCACAGTGAGTTAAGCTGCTGCTTGGGATGCCTGTATTCTGTATTGAAGTGCCTGATTCAAGTCTTTGGCTACTCTGCTTAGAATCCAGTTTCCTGCTAATGTGCCTGGGAGCAGGGATGACAGTCCAAGTACTTGAGTCCCTGTCAACCAGGTGTGAGATTCAGATGTTTCTGGTTCCTAGTTTCAGTCTGGTTCAGCCCTGGGCTGTTGCAGGGATTTGGAGAGTGAATAAAGGACAGAAGATCTCTGTTATTGTGCCTTTCAAATACATAATCTTTTTAAAAAGTGCCATTTGCTGAGTTGGGGAAAACCAAGGAAGTCGTGAATTCGTCTTCCTATCCATAAAATAAGGATAAGAAAATGAAACCACTAAACTCATGGCACAGAGTCTCTGTCACAAGAGTCTAATCAATAAAATCTATTTTTACATTTTTCATAAGCCAAATCCCAAACATCTCAAAGTAGTAAAATGTACTCCATGTGGAAATACACATTTCAAAATAACACATTATAAAGTACAGATTCAAAATTCAGATCCAAATTCAAATGAAATCTCTTGACTAGTTTTGTTAACTTGGAACTACCTGTGTTAGTCATTGTATTAGTACTTTTGGTTTTTCCTAAAGCAGAGATGGTAATGAATAAATTGGGTTAAAAAACAAAAAACAAAATTCTCATATACCAACTCAGTTCAATGATGAAGAAACTGGCATTATAGTAGACTACACAAAATTTGATCTTCCATTTCACATTCCAATATAGAACTGCTTCTCTATATTAAATATCATAATTAAGGTTACAAATGCTTAAAAATCCTGCTAGCTCTTCAAATATGTTAATGAAATAATTGAGTGCCACAGTCTCCAATGCCTACAGATAACCACCATGTGCCCTATGTCAGGCATGGCCATTCCCTTTTACTTAAGAATCTGAGAGGGGCCCTAGGCTGAGAAAAAGTTTTAAAGCCTACTTCCAAAAATAGTGGGATACAATCATTTATTTCATTTCCTCAAACCTGTAAATGGAAAAAGAAATTCCGGAGCAACATACTTAGAGGAGCAAGGCAGATGGACATCCAAACTTAATAAAAAAAAAATGCCCTCATAAAGCCATGAAGCTTTAGAATTTCATGCAGGTTGATCCACGATCTTCCAGAAATATTCTTACCCTGTTAATAGTCAAAGGGGCAGCCCCCAATATTAATCTAACTACTACTATTGTGGATTTTTTTTTCATTTTTGGTAATTTCTCAGTTTAAATAAATGTATTTGCATTTCATTTAGAAAGCGACAAAGCGGATAAAATAAGCGCTTTGGTGCCTTCCATTCCAAATTTTGGAATAAAGGACCATCTGGGAGTGCAGGACAAAAATAATCAATTCTTCAGTTCTCACAAAATCAACCAAATAGTGCCATGAGACTCATGGCTTCGCATGCTAAGAGTGCTTTCCCAAGTCCTCTCGCGCCGGAGTTGGTGGGCAAAGAGGAAAAAAGGAGAAAAGGAGCGTTTTTGCTGGAGTCCCCACCGAGTTCGGTCCCACAGCGCTGGAGGCTTCTCATTTGGCGGGAGGGAGACCCTGAGGCCCTGAGGGGCCGAAGGGCCGTCCCCTCCGCGCGGGACCTGCGGAGGCGGGAGATCACCGCCAGCACCATCTCCCGCGCCCGCCAGCACAGCCGACCCGGCCCAGGCTGGGGAAACCGAGTCTGGACGTGAGGCTGCGGGACAGACACCGAGAAGGGGCGCAGGGCCAGGGGGCGAGGGTCCTGGGCCCTGCTGGTGGGGGGCTGCCGGCTCGCAGCCCTGTCAGGGCCGGGGCCTCGGTGGGGGAGGGGAGGGGGCATTTGGCGCCTCTTCAAGCGGGGAGGGGATGGGTGGTTCGTCCCGCGAGGAGAAAGGGCGCCCTCGCTCGCCACCACCTGCATCCGCCTTGCAGCTGGGAGCCCAGGTTCGGCACGATCGGTGGGACCCCGGGGCCCGCCATCCCGCTCCAGCACCCCCGGCGTCCCACCGAACCCCGGTTTTCCCCTCTCCCGGACCCAGAGCGCGCCGCCGCAGCCCACCGCGGCCCAGCATGCAGCAGCTCCGGGAGGATACTCGGTCAGGGTCGCCCGTCACCGAGCGAACAGCCCTTCCGGAGCTGGCCCCCCTCGTGTCTGCTCCCCTCAACTCACCGTCCGAGGGGCGAAGGCGCCCGGCGGCTGTCACGGCGCTGCAGGAGCAGGAGAGCGGCCGTGCGACGCAGCTGCAGGGGCTCCGGCTCATCCCAGCGGACGGGGGGGTCCGCCTCAGAGTGAAGGGACAACTATCCGCGCAACTGGGCCAGCCGCCTGCTTTGCAGAGCGCTCTCTCTTAAAAGGCGCCAGCTGGGTACTTTTAAAATCTTTGAATTTGGTGCCCAAATTCGCGCGGCCCAATGGGGCGCCTGGCTTGCAAGCGCGCACCAATAAGAAGACGGGGAGGAGGGGCGCCCTAGCCCACGCCCAATAGGAGGGCGCCGAGGCGGGGCCGCCCGGCGAAGCCCCCGCCCCTTCCATGGCGTCGGCTCCGCACGCCCGGAAAGATGCTGAGGCCGGGGGCGGGGCCTGCGAGCGCGCGGAGGCCGCGGCCCCGCCGCACGTGGAGGGAGCCTACCACGCATGCGTGTGCCCGCCAGGCTTCCCTCCGCTGTCTTGGAAACCGGCCTCCAGCAGGTCCTCCCATCAGGCTTAGGGCAGCTCCAGCTTCTCTCTGAAGAGCTCTGACGGGTGCCTGGGGTCACCGGCTCGCTTCCGGCACCTCACGCAGAGGCGACCGACAAGCCGCAGCTCTCGGATCGTGGCCCGGGAAGCCACCGCTTCCGGAAGACAAGCCCTCCCCCAGCCTCTCCAGGATTTGCGCGCGCTCTCTGCGCTCCCTCCGGCCTGGCCCCGCCCCCTGCTCCCGGCCGCCGCGCGGGCGCCCCTGGGGGGCGGGGGCCGAGTTGGCGGGTCGGCGCCTGCGCGCTGCGTTCCGCGCCGGCTTGCCGCGGGGCGGGGCGGGGAGAGGGGCTTGCGGCGGTGGGTGGGTCCGCGGCTAGTCGTACAGGCTCCTCTCGGGGCTCAGGTTGGGGCCGGCTCCTCACGGGGCGCAGCGTGGGGCCGGGTCGTCACGGGGTGTGGGGTGGGCCCGGCTCCTCACGGGGCGCAGCGTGGGGCCGGGTCTTCACGGGGTGGGGGGTGGTACCGGCTCCTCTCCGGGCTCAGGTTGGGGCCGGGTCGTCACGGGTGGGTGGTACCGGCTCCTTTCGGGGCTCAGGTTGGGGCCGGCTCCTCTTCCTCGTCAGCGGGCCGGTTTGCGTCTCCAGCCCTCGCTGTTTTGTACTGACGTTAAGCCGCCCTCCCCAGTGAGCTCCAGGAACTGTAGTCCTTGCTGTCCCCGCACCCCTAGCCCGGAAAGAGTAACCCCTCTCCCCCTCCCGGGCTGCAAGTCCCTGGCCGAGTGCGTGTTGTTTCTGGCAGAAAGGGATGTAAGTGCTGACGGTCTTTGAAGACGCAGCCTCCCGCGTTGTTAGTGGTGCACTTTGCACGCGTTGAGCGTGCCCCGAACTCGGCTTTAGGCTACAGCGCCGTGCGAGCTCCGCGAACTCTGAAGCCCCACGTGTGTGTGTGTGTGTGTGTGTGTTTTGTTTTGTTTTTGCCGTTCCTCCTCTTGCTTTTCTGCAGCCACAGGTAGCTAGTACAGTGTTCCACGCAGTTGGTGCAACTGCTGTGCGAAGCAGATGTTTTCTAGGCGCTGGGTGCATCCTGGGGGTCTGTACTTTTGATGTTTTTTTCAGTCGTTAGGGGTTTTTTGTTGTATCCATTTTTTTTAAATGTTCCATTAAAATAGTACGATTTGGGATTACTGAAAGTTTTATCCGTACCCTTAGCATTTTGCATCTGAGGCATGTGCCTCACTTTGCCTTACCATAGGCTGGCCCTCTTACTAGCTTCTGGAGAAACAGGAGTGAAAAAGCAAAAAATTCCTGTCCTTCAGGGAGTTTGCATACCAGTGGGAAAGAAATGGTCAGGGAACCATTTCGGCAAATCGAAGAGGATGTATAGAGAAAGGGGAGTAGGAGTGCAGAATAAGGACTTTGGTCAGGAAGGTTTCTGAGGCTTTGAAACAAGGTCTGACTATTAAGCTGGCAGTACAGACCTGCCTAGGAACAGGGAGGTCTAGGATGACTGACTAGCACTCCGGAGCAAGGAAGAGAGCAGATGAGGTCAAAGGTAGGCAGAACCAGCTTCTGTAGGACTGCACAGGTTTTCATGTGTTTTAAGTTGTGATTTCCAGGGTATCTGTTGGAGGAATTTTTGCAAGGGAATGATGACCTAATATTTAAATTATAATTGCTTCTTGTTATATATAAAAATAATGTAATTGTTAGCCATTAATTCTCACAATAATCTGAACAATGTAGTTTTTAAAGATTTTATTTATTTGAAAGGCAGAGTGACAAAGAGAAACAGTGAAAGAAGATCTTCCATCCATTGGTTTGCTCCCTGAATGACCATAGTGTCTGGCCAGGCCAAAGCCAGGAGCCAGGAACTCTATCCCGGTCTCCCACATGGGTGGGCCATCTTCTGCTGCCTTTCCAGGCTAATTATCAGGGAGTGGATCAGAAACAGAGTAGCTGGGACTCCAACCAGTCCTCTGATACAAGATCCCAGTGTCAAAGGTGGCAGCTTAGCCGGCTGTGCCATAACACAGGCCCTAGCAATAATTTCATTCAATGATTGTGCTTGAAAATTGAAGCTCATACTGTGTGATTACTAGAATCACATAGCACATAAGCAAAGAACATGGATTTTTTTGAATCTTGCAGACTGAGAGATTTCTCAGGACTGCTGTGTCCTCATAAGGCAGAAGGCAGAAAGCCAAAAAAGGCCAAAACTCTTTTATCAATACTGGGAGTATGCAGGACTTTCAAAGTCCTGTTACTTTTTCTCTGTGTTATACTAGAGAATAATATTTGCTGGAGTACTAGTTGATTATAGTATATTTTCTCATTACCTTCCTGTTTAACCTTAGAGATTGTCATTATTCATCTCTTTCTTATCTTTGTGGAAATAGATATGAAATTTGAGGGGAGGCAGCTTTGACTGTTTACCATAGTTTAAAAGTGTTCTCCAGTAGTTTTTTTTCCCCCTCCAGAAAAAGGCCAACATATTACTGGGAAAATCAGAATTACTGTGGTAATGTAAAGAACCAAACATGTTTTGTTGCATATGGAAATGATGTGTGAGGGTCTCTGTCAGTATTAGATTACTGGATTACTGAATCATTGGCTTTAAATAATGTTTGCACTTTAACTGATACTAAAGAAATACATTTTTTTTTTTTTTTAAGTGACAGAGGAGAGACAACTGAGAGATCTTCCATCCACTGGTTCACTTCTCAAATAGCCACAACAGCCAGGGTTGGCCCAGGTTGAAGCCAGGAGCCTGGGCCAGTTTTCCTATGTGGGTGGCAGAGGCACAAGCACTTTGAACTGATATTCACTGCCTCCCAGGATGTGCATAGGCAGGAAGCTAGATTGGAAGCAGGCACTTGAACTAGCACTCCAATACAGGATGCAGGTGTCCCAAGCCATAGCTCTACTTGTTGTGCCACAGTACCTGCCCTCAAAATACTCTTCTTATCTGACAAATAACTTGATTAATAGGTTAATGGGTACCTGTTAATTTTTTTTAAAGCTTTATTTATTTTTATTTGCAAGTCATAGTTACATAGAGAGAGAGGGTTCTTCCATCCAATGGTTCACTCCCCAATTGGCCGCAACAGCTGGAACTGTGCCGATCCGAAGTTAGCAGCCAGGAGCTTCTTCCAGGTCTCCAGTGCAGGTACAGGGGCCCAAGGATTTAGGCCATCTGCTACTGCTATCCCAGGCCATAGCAGAGAGCTGGATTGGAAGTGGAGCAGCCGGGTTTTGAACTGGCGCCCATATTGGATGCCAGCGCTTCAGGCCAGGGTGTTAACCCACTGCGCCACAGCACCGGACCCTGTTAATTTAATCTTTAGGGCCATTTGGAATTTTACTAGATGCCAGCAGATGTGCACACTCCCCTTTGAAAAAAAAAAAACAAAACAGGGGCCAGTGTTCTGGCATTCCTGTCTCAGCTGCTCCACTTCTAATCCAGCTCCCTGTTAATGTGTCTGGGAAAGCAGCAACAGATGGCCCAAGTGCTTGGGCCTTTGCACCCAGGTGAGATACCTGGATGAAGCTTTTGTCTCCTGGCTTCAGCTTGGCCTAGCCCTAGCTGTTGCAGCCATTTGGGAAGTGAACCAGCAGATGGAAAATCAGTTTTAAAAATTTTTACTTTTTATTTTATTTGAAAGGCAAAGAGACAGAGATTGAAAGAAAGATAAAGGATCTTCTATCCACTGGTTCATTCCCCAAATGGCTGCAACAGCCAGGACTGAGCCAGTCCAAAGCCATGAGCCAAGAGCCTTCTCTCCAGGTACCCCAGGTGAGAAAGCACTTGAACCATCCTCTGCTGCTTTCCCAGGCACACTAGTAGGGAGCTGGATGGAAAGTGGAGCAGCTGGGACTTGAACTGGCGCCCATATGGGATGCTGGCACCACAGGCTGGGGCTTTAACCCGCTGAGCCACTGTGCTGGTCCCCTTAAGTTCAATTTTGATTAAGTTCAATTCTGAACAACACAATAGATCTGTAGACAAATAGTTGATAAACTGGTTTGGGACATTTTAGTGCCTCTTAACACCAGGCTAGGTCCTGAAGAGAGATGTACAGCAGAGATGTTCTTAACTGGAGGTGGGGTGAAGTCCCTATAAGCCCATTTATAAGTTTATTATAAGTTTATCTAGTACACGTGTATTGAATATTATAGCTTTGCAGTATTGTGTACTGTAGGCTGTGTCCCCTCACAGTTGTGGGGCTGACTAGGAGAGCACCTTGAGAGTATCCTACCACACATAGCAAGGCCAAGAAAAATTGAAGTATGGTTTCCACTAAAAGTATGTATCACTTTCTCACCATTGTAAAATTGAGAAATCCCAAATCAAACCATGGAAGTCTGGGACCATCTGTAGTTCATCTTGCTCCTTGACCCACCCTTTCCCATAGCCTTATTCAGCAATCTCAGAACCTATATAAACCAGTAAATTAACTATCTTGTGATACATGTTTTTTTTTTTTTTTAAAGATTTTTCATTTATTTGAAAGGCAAAGTTATGAGAAGCAGAAAGAAAAGTCTTCCACCTGCTGATTCACTTCCCAGATGGCTGCGACGGCCGGAGCTGGGCCTATCCTAAGCCAGGAACCAGGAGCTTCCTCTGAGTCCCCCACGCAGGTGCAGGGGCCCAAGCACTTGAGCCATCTTCCACCGCTTTCCCAGGCCACAGCACAGAGCTGGATTGGAAATGGAGCAGCCGGGACTCAAACCAGCCCCAACATGGGATGCTGGCACTGCAGGCGGTGGCTTCACCTGCTACATCACAGCACCGGCCCTTCTTGTTTTTTAAATATTATTTATTTCAGAGTTAGAGATCTTCCATCTGCTGGTTCACTCCCCAAATGGCTACTACAGCTGGGGCTGGACCAGGCTGAAGCCAGGAGTCCAAAGCGTCTCCTAGGTCTCCCACATGGGAGCAGGGGCCTACAGACTTGGGCCATCTTCCACTGCTTTCCAGGGCAAATAAGCAGAGAGCTGGATCAGAAGTGGAGAATTGGTCACAGACTAGTGCTCACATGGGATGCGGGCATGGCAGATGACGGCTTTACCTACCAAGCTTCATCAACTCCATGATACATGTTATCTTCCAGGTATAGTATGTTAGTCAATTTTGTGGTGCTCTAACAATACCACAGGTTGGGTAATAACACAAAACTTTTTTACAGTTCTGGAGCTAAGGCCAAGATCAGGGCTTTGACACCTGGTGAGTGCTGCTGCAGACTTCCCAGATAGTGCTTAGAATGCTTTGTCCTCAAGGTGAGGGATACTGTGTCCTCGACAAGGCAGAAGGGCAAAAAGTACCAAATTCTTCAAGTCCTTCTAAAATTAATGTATTTATGAGAGCAAAGCTAATATAAACTCATCAAATTTAACTTTGAAAACCTGGAAAAAGTAGAGTACCACAGTTGTTGCAGAAGCAGCTGGAATCCTGTCTTTAAGATTCTCAGAATTTACCAGTTCTTGCACAACCCATATACCGAGTTATTTTAACTATAAAGCATGCATTGTCACTCCTGCTGATCCTCTGCCTGGGAAACTTTGTATAAATTTCAAGGTTCAACCCAAAGGGCATCTTGCCCCGTAAGCAGAATTAACTGCCCTTTCATTTATATTCCATAGCACTTTATCATATCCCACAATCTGTGTGCCCTACACCTACCCCTATGCACATTCAAGTGTTGGAAAGTAGGTCTTTTGGGAGGGAGGCATTTAGGTTGCAAAAGTTTGGATACTATGATGATTAATTTTATATGTAAAGTTTTCTGGACCACAGGGTACCCAGATATTTCATCAAACATTATTTTGGGCATTTCTGTGAGTATGCTTTTACTTGACATTGAGATTGAAATTAGTGAAGTCTGAGTAAAGCAGACTCCATTATGTCAGAGGGCTTTACTTGGTCAGTTGATGACCTTAGTAACAAAAAGAACAGCTTCCTCCAGGCAAGAGAAATCTCCAGCAGACTGCCTGATGACTGGAACTGCATCATCATCAGCTTTTGCTGGCTCAGACTTCAGACTGTCATCCTGAAACCTGGGCAATCCTTACAGTAAATCTCTGCATATACATTGGTTCTACCTTCTGGAGAATCCTAATATGGACATCTGCTGAGGCTCAATCTCCAAAAGGTTTCCTTCCCTGGATACCCTTGGTCTTAGAGTACCCTCTCAGTCCTAGTGTATCACATTTCTCTCTTCACATCCTTCTAACAGCTAATTCCATTAGTTGAATTAATGATATGGTATCTGTCTCCTGACTGGACCCTAAAAAATGAGTATTGCCGTATTTCTAGTATTTTAGTTTGAACTTCTTAGAAGTTTTTTGTTAAGACTTATTTATTTGAAAGGCAGAGTTATTACAGAAAGAGAGGGAGAGACAGACAGCTTCCATTGCTGGTTCACTCTTCAAATGGCTACAGTGGTCAGGGCTGGGCCAGGCTGAAGCCAGGAACCTGGAACTCCATCTGGGTCTGACATCAGTGGCAAAGGTCCAAATAGTTGGACCATCTTCTGCTTTCCCAGACACATTAACAACAAATAGACTTAAAGGTTTTTGGAAATAATTTCTAATAAAGATTCATAATTAGCATAGTCTTTCAATGACTGTATCATTTCATCCAGTTGGTAATCTCCTTTCATAAAAGCTTCCAGATCATGCACTGATTTGTTTATTCTGTGATCTGTGACCCGATTTTGTGGAAAATTATATGTTCTTATTTTCTCTGACCTTCCTTTAGTTCCAACCTATTTAGATAAAAAAAAAAAAAAAAAAAAAGAGATGCAGTTAGATCCAAGGTAACTAGCAAACTTACAAATTTAACTTACTTAGAAATTAAATTCACAACACATAATGGAAATCATCACACTAGAACCAAGTGTTAAATATTTTGAGTCCTCAAATGATATAGGAACATGATACAGAAAAAAATACATGGTTTTTAAATCAGATTCATACTTGAATCCTGTCTACCATTTCAGTGCAACTTCAGGCAATTTACTTCAACTGTAAACTCTCCCCATCTGTAAAATACAAATAGTGTCTACTGTACAGTGATGATGCATAAATAGAGCTTGGCAAACAGTTGATACTTAAATGGTAGCTCAGTTTACCCATCTAGTCTTGTGAAATAATGTAGTCATTCTGAATGGTGATCACTTGATGAAGTTTCCATATTAAGGAATTCCTAAAAAGCCTTTATTGTTAGAAAATTCAATATCAAATAGGAGGAAAGTTAAGTTCACAGTTTTCTTTCCAACTTTGTTCCAAGATTTGAAAAGATTAAAACTGAATGGGGACTAAGTACATCATTTTTAGTAACTGAATGAAAGTCTGGGAGAAATACTTTGAATACAGAAGATAGGGCAGATATGTAACATTACTGTAAAACAAGTACTGCCTTTAGGTAACTACTTCAATTGTTTTGTTATTTTGACATATAAAAACTGAGCTACCTAAAAATATTTTTAACTCTATGGGTATTTTTTAATGTGTTTGTTTATTTATTTGAGACACAGATGGATTCACTATCCAGTGCCCACAGCAGCTAGGACTGGGCCAAGGCCCAGGAGTGGGGGATTCAAATCAGATCTCCTATGTAGGTGGTAGGGACCCAATTACTGGTGGCATAACTGTTAGGCCAAATGCCCACTCCAGGTAAAGCATGTTTTAAATTGATTTTTACCTGAATCTTCCTGGCATTATATCTTTTACTTGTTTCTTCTTCTAGATGCATGCTGTAGAGTTTTGCACATAACTTTTTCATGGCCATCTCTCTATTTTTCAGTTGAGATCTCTCTTGTTGGCATTCAGAAACAATACCTGAATATTGTTATGAGAATGAAAGAATTTTAATAGAAAATCTTCTTTATTTATTAAGGAATACTTCATTTCCATCTCATTCTTTTTCTTCTTCCTTTATGAAGAGAGAAAAACAGGACTCTAATATAAAAGGAAGACTATAAACAATATTTTATAGTTAATCAAAAAATTGGAGTTTGAGCTATAGCACAAAGTATTTCCATACTGAAGGCATATATACTGAAGAATAAATCATTTAATAAGGATTGTTTTCCCAAATTCTCAGCAAGTTATCATACTTTCTTCAAAGTGATAACTAGAAACTGAGATATATAGAAATTAAAGATCCTTAGGATTTCCATTTTACCTCCCTTCTTGTTATGACAGCATCCTAAAACTTAAAAGATGATTTTTTCATATTTAAGACAAAAAAAACCCTATCAACTAGCATACCATCAACTAACAGTAAAGGATCCTTGTGTTCTTTCCAGATAACTGAGGAATGCTATCCATATGCTATTTTTAAGGCTTATGTATTTATCTGAAAAGCATTATAGAGGGAGACATCTTCCATCTGCTGGTACACTCTCCAAATGGCCTCAGTGGTGACAGTCCTGGCCAAAACCAAGACCCTGGAACTCCAACCAGTTCTTCCACAAGGGTGGCAGGGGCCCAAGCACTTGAGCCATCCTCCATTGCCTTAGGAGCATTAGCAGGGACCTGGATCGGAAGCAGAGCAACCGGGACTTGAACTGCTGCTCAATGAATGCTGGTATTACAGCTGGTGGCTCAACCTGCTGTACCACAACACAGGCCCCTATCCATATGCTCTTTATCACACATAAATCACTGTAAGAATACTTGGGAAACATGTTTAGTTCTATTTAATAGTATACTGGAGAGTTAAGAAAAGATTTGGGTACAGTCCCTTTGTCTGTCTAGTCAGATAACCTGGAAATTTGTGAATGTACTTACTGGAAGAAAATTATATGCAAAACTTTGTTATGTATGTGTGTTTCTGGGTAGGAGAGCTATTGTCTTCATTTTCTCTAGTCCATGTTTTTCTTTTCCCTCAAAAGACTAAGATCCAGTGAGCTAGAGTACTTTCTGATAAAGAACTCATGATATTACTTCATACTAAAACTATTACATAAAACTTCAGAAGTCCACCTTCAAGGATTAACCATATACCTTCTCTTTACAGTCATTTACAAAGAAATTCTCTAGGATTGGAACCCTCCCTGTTCCTGGATTTGCAATTTCCAGGAGAGTATCAGCTAAGGATTCCAAATTTGATCAATCAAGTGTTTAATAATCAATCTTATCAGTGTATATTTCCCTGGTAATGGAGGATGAGAAATTGATTTCTCTTGAGTGTTTGAACTGAAGAAAGACAGTGCATACCTGTGGGAAGATGAACTATCCGGACGGCACTGTCTGTGGTATTTACATGCTGCCCCCCAGCTCCGCTGGCTCGTTTTGTATCAATTCTCAAATCTTTAGGATTAACCACCAGGTTAATCTATATATAAGAAGAAAAGTTTAGATTTTTAAAAATCATGTGTACCAACTATATAAAGTCAAGGACTGCTCATTTATAATTCTGTGTCAGAACTCATTTAGGATTTAGAAGGTTTAGTTTTAAGAAAAAAGTAGTTTGAAGGATACCATTTTTAAACCTTTTTTACTTTTTGAAAGAGTAGGGAATCACAGTAATACAGAACAGTAACAGAAATCCTCTCCCTAATTCCCAAAGACCATTCTTCTTTGTAACAAACACTAGATCCTAGTTTCAGTCAGAAATGTGAAAATAATGAGCTAAAATAAGACTTTACCAAGTATTTCTGAGTTAAAAGATGTTGGCAAAGAAAAAAAAAAGTTAGCTTAACCAGACGATGGGCTTATATTGTTAAATTTCAAACATTTTGGAAGCAGAAGTAAGATAAATGGAAATACAAAGGCCAAAAGTCAGGGGTATAGACTTAATTTGACTTAACTTGATGGCTCAAGTACTTAGGTTCCTGCCACCCCAATGGGAGAAATGGATTGCATTCTTGGCTCCTGGATTTGACCAAGCACAACTCTGTTGCAGGGATCTGGGCAGTGAATTCCAAGATGTCTGCCTCTCTACTTTCAAATAAAATTAATAAATAAAAGTAAAATTTTAAAAAAGTAGCACTAGGTATAAAAAGGTGTTTCATGGACCACTCTGTGACATATCCACACCCTTCCAGTAAAAACTACCATTTCCTAGGCCCTCCAAGTCTTGCTATGGGACACCCTCACATAGTTACTAAAAGAATTAGATGATATGTGGACTTCAGTCTCCCATCTTTTACTAAAAACTTGTATCTCCAAAGATGCTTAAACTAAATGACTAGTTTCTAGGTATGGTTCCTGCCATTTATTCTACTTTACTCCCTCAACTGTTCTGGCTTCAAAGGAAAATTAGATTTAAGCAAAGGGCCTCCATCAATCTGATTATAGAGTCAAATAATACTTTTCCCCAAAAACTTAATAGAAACCCTCAATTAAATTCCTTCTCCTCAAATCATTCATAGACCATTCTGAAAAATATTTTCTATCACTTTTTAGAAGGGAAATTAAACAACAAAACTTAAGATTTATTTAATTATTTGAAAGACAAGTAACAGACTGGAATAGACAGGGAGAGAGAGATCTTCCATCTCCTATACATTCCCCACATGATCACAACAGCCAGGTTAGGAACAGGCTGAAACCAGGAACTCCATCTTAGTCTCCCACGTGAGTGGCAGAAGACCAAGTACTTGGGCCATAATCCCCTGCCTGCCCAGTTGTTTTAGTGGGGAGCTGGATTGGAAGCGGAGCAGCTGATATGGGTGCTGGCATTGCAAGTAGTGGCTTAACCTACTGGGCTCCACTGCCAGACCTAAGAGAACTAAACAAAGTTATTACGCAAATATAGATTAAGAATTTGCTTTGTGAGAATAAAGTATACTCATTAGGAACACTAACAAAATTTTTTATTTTAATGTGAGTTATGAAGTAGCAATTGTACTGTTTGTAAAACAAGATTCTTGCTTTAATACCCTAGGAATCTGTCACACAAAGGAAAAGTGTCCTTAAAGTCAACCAGCCCTTATTTAAATAGGTTAACATTTAGCTATAGAGATGGTCTCACAGTATCTATGTAAGTGATGCAAAAAACTGGTAAATATAATGTAAGATTGGATCAGTTTAAAATCCTTAGCTATCACCATCTATTGTGGAATATCACCGTCCTATATTGGAATAGGATAATAGGCTCTCAAAAGCAATTCAAAGTATGTGAGGAAGATAATAATAATAAGATACTCAATTTAGTAAACTCTGTATGACACTCTGGGAATAAGGAATCATGCTAGGCTCAAGATTCTAAGGAGAGGAATTTGCCTTACCTCAGTAGGTTGGGGTAGTATTGCTACAGTCATAGTGCTAGTATGGATGCGGCCTTGCCTCTCTGTTTTTGGCACTCTCTGTACTCTGTGCACACCTCCTTCAAATTTCATGAGCTTATAGGCTTCTGAACCCCCAATGCTGGCGGATGCATGTCTAAGGCCACCTTTGAAAATACAGGGAAAACAGAATTGTTTTTAATTATTCCACCCATTTATAAACATTTGACCATCACATCTACTATCATGAAGTATTTAAAATAAAAAAAAAAAATGAAACATTTAGCAAGGCTGTAATATTCTTCTAATTTACTGGTTACAATGATTAAGCAAACATTTATGGTGCTAAAGAAGTGACATCAGTAACACATCTAAAAGACCAATTTAAAGACAATTAGTCATTCAGTGATCAGTACTGCTGAATTAGTATCCATTACAACTTATAAGCCATTTCAAAACTGGAATATTTGGCATTTAAAATTATTAAGTAAATAATGAGCATAAAACTACTTAAGCATCCTTACAAATAAGCCATAAAACCTCGTTATAATCATTCAAACCTTTTTCCTGGGACACAGGCAGACAAAAGACACACTCTAAAATTTACCCAAAGCAAACTGAACAGTTTACTGACCTATTTCACTTGGAAAATATTCCAGGGTTTCAAAATGCCATCTTTTAAATGCAGCATATTGCTGATACATATCAAACATCTCTGAAGTAAACAACATTGCCTCCTGACCCCCAATTCCTGCAGTTACCTCCAGGACCAAATCATTTTCATCTGTTTCTTCTGAGGGAACCAAAAGTAAAACGATCTGTAAATGGAACAATATCAACTCTCCTGTAATTAAGAATTAATTAAAACTTAACCAGAAAGAAGCTAAGTGATTACACAGAAGCACTTTTAAATATTTAAGTCCCTTGAAGCAATTTATTACTGAGAGCTGTTCAATTATCTTGCCAATTAGAACCATATGATGCATATCTTCCAGAAAGTATTAATGTTAACTGTTATAAAGACAATGAGATTCAGCTATAACTCACAGGCCTGTTTTTGTTTTTTCTTAGCATTATGGTATGCTTTATACCAGCTCACTCTTCAGTTGGTAAGAATTAAGTGTTTGGTGGGAGTATGACGATATTTGTATACAGAATGCAGAAGATCCAGGCTCTACCCTCCTGAAATGTAAGGCGCAGCATGGCAGAAAAACAAAAGCACTCAATTTCCAGTTGTACTTTTACAAGGTTCTTAAAACAGCAGAGAAAACTTGTAATTTTGGAACTGAAAGGCCCTTACAGGTGACCTGGTCTAATTCCCTCATTTCACAAGTAAAGTCAACTGGGGTTAGCAGAGGTTAAAAGACTTGTTAACTTCAAACCTATGTGCCCACAACAGTCTTCCTTCCACTATGATAGTATGTTTTGCACTGAAGAATGTACTGTTGGGGCCGGCACTGTGGCATAGCAGGGAAAACTGCCATCTGCAGTGCCAGCATCCCATATGGGTGCCGGATCTAGTCCTGGCTGCTCCACTTCTGATCCCGCTCCCTGCTAATGTGCCTGGGAAAGCAGCAGATGGCCCAAAAACTTGGGCCCCCACACCCAATTGGGAGATCCAGAAGAAGCCCCTGGCTCCTGGCTTCTGATTGGCCCAGCTATGGCAGTTTGTGGAGTGAACCAGCAGATGGAAGATCTCTCTCTCTCTGTAACTCTACCTTTCAAGTAAATGCATAAATCTTAAAAACAACAACACACACAAAAAAGGTACTATTAAGGGGACCTAGAACAAAAACTTCTTAGATTAGATCATTTAATAGAAGTCACCAACATGTATTGATTTGTTAGTATATGACAGGCATTCTGCTGAGCACTGTAATTTTTTTTTAAGTTTTATTTTATTTTGTATGAAAGGTACAGTTAGATGGAGGGAGATACAGAGAGACTGAGATCTTCCATCTGCTGGTACATTCCCGCAAACGGCCATGGCTGGGCCAGGCCAAAGCCAGGAGCTAGAAGCTTCGTAGTGGGGGGGGTCTCCCACACTGGTACAGGGGCCCAAGGACTTGGGCCATCTTCCCCTCCTTCCCAGGTGCACTAACAGGAAGCTGGATGGGAAGCAGAGCAGTTGAGATTCAAACAAGCACCAATATGGTTGTCAGCACCGCAAGCAGCAGCTTAACCCACTGTGCCACTACACTAGCCCCTGTATTTTAATCCTTAAAACAATTTTGGGTAGGTACTGGTAGCCAGCTATTAACAGTTCTACCTTAATGTCAAACTAAGTTTAGAGAGGCTAAGTAATCTAGCTGCCCACTACAAACAACTAGAAAGTTGAAGAGCTAGAATGGAATCCAAGTGTACTTTGGTTCTAAACTGATCACACTTTATGTTAGCAGGAAGCTATACTTGATAATACTTTTCTATCTCTGTAGCCTATGCCACTATAACACAATCATTGGAATCTTTAAATAACAAATAATAAATTTTGTTTCTTGGTTCCTAGCCACTGAATAGGAGCCTTTAATGTACATGTCCTTCTAAATCACACACACGCAAACACACACAGAAACTAGAAAAAAGGGTAGAAGGCAGGCTACACTTGCCTTTTTACTTTACAGTAAAACTTCCTCTAGAGTAGGTGTCAAGGACATTAACCTCCAATGCGTTTCACATTTGGCTAGGGAAAAGGCAGTATCTCTTAGATGTTCCTTTTCCTGGCTCCTTCTTCACCTTAACATGTTCCATCACTTATTATCCCAAAAAGATAACTGCCATTGACCTTTGAAGCTCTGCTTTACAGAATCAACAAAGAGTGAAGAGTTCTAATTTCATGTAGTTACTCTATAACTCCTATATGTTTTACAATTCTCCCACACATAAAATCAAAGCAATTCTTTTTTTTTTTTTTTTTTTGGACAGGTAGAGTTTACAGACAGTGTGAGAGACAGAAAGAGAGAAAGGTCTTCCTTCCGTTGGTTCACTTTCCAAATGGCCGCAACAGCCAGAGCTACGCTGATCCGAAGCCAGGAGCCAGGAGTTTCTTCCTGGTCTCCCATGTGGGTGCAGGGGCCCAAGCACCTGGGCCATCCTCCACTGCTATCCCAGGCCACAGCAGAGAGCTGGACTGTAAGAGGAGCAACCGGGACTAGAACCCAGCACCCATATGGGATGCCAGTGCTGCAGGCGGAGGATTAACCTAGTGCACCACGGCGCCGGCCCCTACAATTCACTTCTTAAAATTGTGGTCTGATAGTCTAAATAGTGCCTGAGATAGAAAGATTAATACATTGCTGTTCCTGAAGAGGTCAGTCTACTATCACTGTATAATCTCTTCTACTCATTGTCTTTCCCCACTCCCCTTAAAAAAAAAATAAAAAAGAGAAATATACTAATGTTTTACTGCCTTTCCAGAAAATCCTATTAATATGACATTACTCTTTCTCTGTGAGAGCTCTGCAATCCCTTTTAGTATGATGAAAATAGAACCACATGAGGAGTATCTTTTCTTGCTTTAAAAACCAATTTATTGATAATGGTAATCATTTCACAAGTATGTATATAGCAAACCATATTGTATACAACTTAAAATAGATACAATTTTGTCAATTATATTTCAATAAAGCTGGAAAAAAGATAAAAGTTTATTCTAAGTAGTAAAGACATGGTTGCTTTTTGAATTGTTATTTATAAACCTCTAATAAAATGTCTAAGAAATAACAGCACAAATGCTTTGTTTTTGCACAGATACCATACCTGTTGCTTCAGCTGTGTAATTTCTTTTTGACACAGAGTTATTTCATTCTCTGCAAGTCTCCTTAAATCTTCATTCTCATCTAATGGGAAAAGGAAACAGTTTAACTTTTTTCTTTTCAAGGTTAACAGTTGTATTGTTATTGTTTTTTTTTTTTTTAAAGATTTTATTTATTTATTTGAAAGGTAGAGTTACAGACAGTGAGAGGGAGAGACAGAGAGAAAGGTCTTCCTTCTGTTGGTTCACTATCCAAATGGCTGCAACGACCGGAGCTGTGCTGATCTGAAGCCAGGAGCCAGGTGCTTTTTCCTGGTGTCCCATGTGGGTGCATTTGGGCCATCTTCCACTGTTTTCCCCGGCCACAGCAGAGAGCTAAATTGGAAGAGGAGCAGCTGGGACTAGAACCAGCACAGGGAGAGGATTAACCTACTGTGCCACAGCACTGGCCCCTTGTTATTCTTTTAAAACTAAAACAACATAAAAATATAAAGAACCTGATTAAGCTTTTCTATAATTTTACCTATGTAAAATACATTAGTAAATAGTATATGAATGCATTTAGTTAGAAAGACCAAAGGGGCAAGAGAAGGTTCATCAATAAAACCAACCTGAATTAAAAAGCACAATGTTTTCATTGTCTTTGTAAATGTTTCATTACTATAAAATAAATATCCACCTAAAAACATTAGATTCTGTCCAATGGTTACAAATGTTTACATGAAGTACTCCCCTCTCTCTGGCTTTACCCCTACTATTTTTCCATCATTTCAGTTCTCATTCTAACCTTACAAAAGGAGGTACCTTTCTCTGAAGGGAGGAGAGAACTTCCACTCTGACTGCGACCTTGTCTAAATATGATCAGAGTCGGTGAACTCAAAAGACTTCCATAGCCTTGGTGACTCATGACAAGAGCCTCGGGTGATCACTGATGCCATAAACAAGAGTGTCAATTTGTTAAGTCAACAACAGGAGTCACTGTGCACTTACTCCTCATGTAGGATCTCTGTCCTAATGTGCTGTACATTGTGATTTTATGCTATAAGAAGTAGTCAAACAGTATTTTTCACTTTGTGTTTCTGTGTGGGTGCAAACTGTTGAAATCTTTACTTACTATATGCTAAACTGATCTTCTGTATATAAAGAGAATCGAAAATGAATCTTGATGTGAATGGAAGGGGAGAGGGAGTGGGAAAGGGGACGGTTGCGGGTGGGAGGGAAGTTATGGGGGGGGAGCCATTGTAATCCATAAGCTGTACTTTGGAAATTTATATTCATTAAATAAAAGTTAAAATATATATATATATACTTTTTGATTTCTCTACTCTATGGACAATGAGCAGCCTATAGAAAGAGGGAAGACGACTGTTTTGGCTATTACAAATTGTTCCCTCTATTGAAAAATCAAACCCTTACAAAGTACCAATCTGAGTGCTTATTTAATTACGAACCAACCATGCTGGGAACTGAGTGAGGATCATAGAAATATATATTGGGCTCAGCTCTAGAGTTTAGAATTGGGTTATACATAAGCAGTGAGAATGCAGTAGTTCTTTATTTTCTCTTTCAAGATTGTAAATCAAAACACATTTACTGGGCACCGCCCACATGCATACTTTTTCCTTACCTTCTCTCTGCCTGCAAAGGTGTTTATGGCTTCCCTATTCTGAAAGATCCTTTTCTATTCAATCTTTGAAGTAACTGCTTGTTGCTATCCTTTTTCCCACCCGTATTTCTAGAAATAATATTCCTTATTTGTCATTTCTCTTCTATTATCTCTAAAATTCTCAAACCGTTAGACTGAATGCCATAATCAAATTAGAACTATTTTTATTAAAATAATCACTGTCAAAACTGCCAAATCTAAACACTTTTTTCAGTCTGTGTGGAATGACACACGCTTTACTATTCTTAAATCAGATACTGACAATCTCTTACTCCTTGACATTTTCTTTATTTGTACAACTTCACTTACCTATCTCGTTTACAATCCCAAATCTCTGCCTCTTCTTTCTTGATCTTTGACAGTTTTCTCTGCTGCCTGTTCCTAATCTCTACAAATATTCTATGAATCTTCTCCATTTCCAAGGCTTCATTTATCATGCAGTTGTGTATCTTGAGTACTCTCATGAATACTGAGGCTCCAATTTTTCTTCAGTGTCTGTAGTTTTTTCTCCTAGATCAGTATAGCTGTCTTTCTCTGAACATCACTGTTGTATGTACTTTTAACTGAATTTCTCTATTCAACACACAGCTCCTGTTTTTTTTTTTCTTTATATTTTCATCTTAAATAACAGTATCATTCATGTTCTGAAGACAGAAGCCTAGGATGTCTCTTGGACTTCTGTCTCTCCTTCATTCTTCTCAGGATATAAACCAACAACTCCTAACTGCTGTTCCTCAAATGTCTTGTAAACCATGTCTGTGCTTACCACCACCTCCCCTCAGAAAAGTTTCAACACTTTCCTCACTGGCCTTTCAGCCAGCAGGGCCTCTGGAGAATACTCCAATTCATCCTCAAGAATGACTTCACTAATAACTTTTCTTTAAAAAAGATGTCACTTTTCTGTAAAAAGATATCACATCTTGGGCCAAGTTTTCTTTAAAAAAGATGTCACTTCTCTGTAAAAAGATACCACATCTTGGGGCCAGTGCTGTGGAGTAGGTTAATCCTCCACTGGTGGCGCCAGCATCCCATATGGCCGCTGGTTTAAGACCCTGCTGCTCCTCTTCCAATCCAGCTCTCTGCTATGGCCTGGGAAAGCAGGAGAAGATGGCCCAAGTCCTTGGGCCCCTGAACCTGCATGGGAGACCTGGAAGAAGCTCCTGGCTCCTGGCTTCAGATCGGCTCAGCTCTGGCCGTTGCGGCCATTTGGAGAGTGAACCAATGGAAGGAAGACCTTTCTCTCTGTCTCTCCCTCTCACTGTCTGTAACTCTACCTCTCAAATAAACAAATAAAATATTTTTTAAAAAAGGATAACATTTCTCTGTTTAAAAACATACGCTAACTTCCCATTGTCCATAAAACAAATGCAAATTCTTTGTCATGCAAGGTCCATAACTGTTTCATATTTCAGCAACGTGATCATCTCCCATACCTATTCTATGTTCCTGCATAGAATTTGATACCTTTGTTCTTGCTGGTCACCTCTATCTTCAGTTACTTTTGAACCACCTCACAACCTCATGCTTATCGTTAAAGACCCATTTAAATGCCAGTTTCTGCCTTTTTTTTTTTTTTTTTGACAGGCAGAGTGGACAGTGAGAGAGAGAGAGAGACCGAGAGAAAGGTCTTCCTTTTGCCGTTGGTTCACCCTCCAGTGGCCGCGCAGCCGGCGTACCGCGCTGATCCAAAGGCAGGAGCCAGGTGCTTCTCCTGGTCTCCCATGGGGTGCAGGGCCCAAGCACTTGGGCCATCCTCCACTGCACTCCCTGGCCACAGCACAGAGCTGGCCTGGAAGAGGGGCAACCGGGACACAATCCGGCGCCCCGACCGGGACTAGGACCTGGTGTGCCGGCACTGCAAGGCGGAGGATTAGCCTAGTGAGCCACGGCGCCGGCCCAGTTTCTGCTTTTATAACACTCTTCTTTATTGAAGCCATTAAAAAATTCATTCACTTACATTTTTATATAACTTCTTAAGTATCTCTCACCATGCTGTAAGCTTCTAATAGGGAATCCCCCCACCCCCTTTTGGTTATTATTAATGTCCAAGACAGAATTAAGAACTAAAGATTTGCTGTTGTTTTTAAACTAAGTTGCATTCTGTCATCCACAATCTTTGAGCATTCTGTTAACTTTCCTACACTTTGATTTTTAAAACACTTAACCTTTAAATCCACTGGGTATTAAAGTTGTCTTAAACTAGGAAAACAATATAAATTTTCCCCCAAAAACCACCTCTTTAGGCATGCTCCTTTTCTCTTAAATCATTTAATTTACAGTCTCCTTAACTCATTCATATTACTCAATTAGCCTTTTTTAATCTTCAATCTCAGAATTCTAGGTTGACACCTAACCTGCCACAAATAGAGCTTCCTAGGTGACAGAGTTACTTCTGTCACTCAGTCCTCAATCTAAAACCTTCTGCTGGCTCCCTTCTGCCAACAGGATAAAGATCAACATCTTAGATTAGTGTTTGACTTCCCTTACTGTGGGGAGCAACTCGGACTAGACTAAGTTACTGGAATTAAGACTTATTCTATGCATCTGCTCTCCCACAATATGGCGCTGAGAAGGGAGAAACAGCTTCTACACAGCTGCCTCCAGTTCAACCAATAAACTGTAGGACCTGCTCCTGATTGGAGGACAGCAGCGTACTCGGCGTGTGGGTAGCAGAGTTGGGATTGGCAGAGGAGGACTATAAAGGAGGAGAGAGACAACATGCACCAGGAACATCTAAGGGGAACATCTATCTGAAGGAACACCTGTGCAGACCCCGAGAGCCGGCCGGCGGTGTGCCGCTCCCCGGCGGAAGTGGGGAAAGTGGCAGGGGGAACCGCCCTTCCACGGAGGTGGAAGGGTCGGTAGCCAACCCGGGAAGAACCAGCAGCAAACCCGGGGAGGGCCGAGCAGACAAAAGAACAGCGCAGGGTCCTGTGTCGTTCCTCCACGAAGACACCTAACAAAATGGTTCCAAGAGGCCACTACCCCACACCCGCTGTGCTTTCTTGGTTAATAAAGAGTACAGTGATTAAGAGCGTGAGATTTGGAGTCCGTCCAATCCCATCTGTGTAAATGGAATCAATCTGAAGTGAGTTATTTCATCTCTGTTTTAAGGTTCCTCTTCTGTCACACGGAGCTAGCACCTTACCGCGTGAATTAGATAATTTAATACATAAAGAGAGTTAAGGAAAACCTCGGGCACTGAAGGGGATCAATGAACTACTGTATCCGACAAGAGCGGGCCGTTACACCTCTGCAACACATCCCCGACAGTTCTGGCTCGCCTACACTTCCATTTCTTCACGTTTCCGCTCTGTTACCATAAATTCTGTCCCCCACAGAGGACTGCGAGTCGGTCTGCAGCTTCGCTACCCTCAGTGTGGTCCATGGACCAGCAAGCAGCCCGGCATCCCTGGGACGCAGGGAAACCCAGGCCTCCTCCCGGATGTAAAGTGCACACAGATGACCCGGGAAACTTGCTAAGAAGCAGGTTCCTAGATCTCAGATTCTACGTCCGACGTGCACAGACCCAGCTCTTGATGCTACCGCAGAGGGTCTCCAAGCCAGACCGAGGGGACGCCGCCCTGGAGGCCTTCGCGGGGCGAGCGCCTCATTGGTTCTCGGTGAGCTAAAGAGCGGCATCCCGAGAGCACGCAATCGGTCCACAAATGTGAATTTAGGTGGGGTGCAAGGGGGCGGAGCACCGTGGCAGGCAAGCACCAGAGAGGAAGCGATCGGAACGCGCACAATGCCGTCCTAAGCGGCCTATGCGAAAGGATCAAGGATTTGCTCGCATGCCGCCCCCCGGCCCGGCCCTTACCGCGTAGCAGATGCTCGGTCTCCCGCAGTTCCTGCTCCTTCTCGCTCAGGAGTTTGGCGGCCGCCACCAGCTCGGGCCTCCTGACCTGCAACGGGGCGTCAGAGCTTGCCTGCCGCTCCAGAAAGGTCCGCAAGGGCCCGCCGCGTGCGAACAGCTCCTCCACCGCCGGGTGACCGCAGCTGAGAGGCCGGCGGCTGGGGCCCAGGGCCGGCCGCGCCCACAGACACCGGGCCGCTCCCCGAAGAAACCGGGACCGCATAGCTAGATCGAATCGGCCGAACCTGACCAAACCGGGAAACCAAACATGGCGGGTCCCGCAACACTACGCCACTTCCGGACCCGGGCACCGGAGCCAGCCAATCCCCGCCCAGCGCACGCGCACGCGTCAAATGACATCCCGGAAGCTTTGGTGTGAACTTCCGGCCTAGCGTGAGAACGCGGCAGGCTGAGCGAAGGCCAAAAGTTGAGGGGGCGGAGCCTAGAGCGGAAGGGGCGGGGCCGCCTTGCTAAGCGGGCCCGGGAGATTTGGGGCTCCGCCAGTGTCCTAACGCTTGGGTCAGAAACACCTGCTGGCTGCCGCTGAGCCGCGTTTCTCTGCTAGGGGAAACCGCTTGCTGAGGGCGGGAGTTTGTTCCCCAAGCAGTGAGTGGACAGCCTGGTGTCCGCGACGCGGCAGAGGGCGCAGCCACGGAGGCTGGCTGTGCCCAGTGCCAATCTGACCGTCAGGTCTCGGAAGACGACTTTTAGGGTGGTCGTGGGTGTTGGGCGGGTGTGTTCCGGTTCCTCGTCCCCTCTGGCACGGTCGGTAAGGCGCGGCAGGTGTGCCGCCCAGTGAGTTCCCCACCCGCCGCGGCCACCCCAGTCGCGGTGGCTGCTTTGTCCAGGGGCTGAGCAGACGAGCGCGAGGACACAGCGAGGCCTTCGAAGGGTCACCCGCGCGGTCACTGCCCCAAGCTGCGGGCGGCAGGGAGCGGCCGACCGGCCCTAACCGGCCGCGGGGTCGCTGGCTGCTGAGAGATGGCGGAGTGGGAGCTCTTAGGGTTGAGAAATACCCTTGAGTCATCTAATCAGGCCTTTGAGGTCGGGTGTGACATTCTCCAGTTAACCTGAATTGCCGGGGTGCAGCCCTTAACACAGTGACCGAAGGAAATGACTCCAAGGAATAAATAGAAAGAGCTCCCCTACTTAAAAACTCAAGTATCTCAAACTTCCAATTCTCTCTCTTTATAAAGGCTACACTATTTTATAAAAACTTTTGTTGCAATATAGTTGTTGAAATCCGTTTTAATTTTAATCTGAATATAGAATAGGACTGGTCAAAAAAAGTTTTTTTCACCATATAAGTAAACGGTTGGAGTTATTTGAACTCGACATAAATCTCTCAGCTGAATTTTCAAATCATTTTAAGAATATATTTTATTATATATAAAAAGTGAAAAATTGTAATAAGCAATAGCCCTACAAAACAATGTAAAGAATCCAGCCAGAATTTATTTTCCCTAGTCATGAATATGTGTACCCTTTATTCCTATAGTGTTAAACCAGTGATGAAACAGTAACTTGTCTAAGGATACATTGGTGAATTCTTTATTAAAATTCAAAACATTTTAAGAAAGTCAATATAATGCATATGCATTTTACAATAACATCCATAAGTTTCCACAATATAGTCAAATGAAAACAACTGTAGTTTGACTTACTTTGAAAAGTCAGATATGCTTAGTTTGAGGCTTCTGAGTTTCCTTACATTATTGTCATGCTCAAATTCTATTACATAGTGAAGATTCTGGCATTTTTAAGAAGTCTATTGTACATAGGTAAAATGATAAAAACAGATTCAAGGAAAAATCTAGAACAACGAAAATTGGAGAAAAATAATCTGTACTATATATTCAATTTATGAGTACCTAGTTATTCTGACGTTGCAAAATAACCAAGCAAGGTGCCTCTTAAGTTGTATTCATGCATTCAAAACTTCCTTATAGTCCACTAATAAGTATTGGAGTCCAAAATATGGGTTTAGATTAAGTAGAGTGAAGATGGTAATAAAAAATTACACATGTTCAATACGATTAAATTTCACATAATTGAACATTTTAATATTTAACATCTTCAAATCATATACAACAAACACTGTATATATGCCAGATTAAAGCTGGGTGAGATAATCTTTTATATTATCATGGTGTTCATCGTTTAGTGAACAGCATACAGAAAAGCACTGAGCAAAACGATGATCAATTTTAATTACTTCTTAGGACAATAAGACTAAGCTCTTTGATACCCAAAGTATGTGGAGGATTAAAGTAGCTCAAGGGAAGAAGTTGGCTTTCTCCTCTGGCAGGGGAATATGCAGGTGAACACTGTTTTGGAGTTTACCTGTTCCATCTTCTGGTAGCAGGTTCTTTGTATTTTCTTCAAAGCCTTTCTTAGTAACCTTTACTGGAATCTAATACTAGTGTTGAGGAATCTGCTCCAATTTCTTTTTATATACCCAGTAAATTTATTATCAATATAACCTCTTTGAAAATATTTTACTGTACAGAGGAGAAATCAAATGGACACTACCTCAACCAAGTGATCAAGGTCAACATCAACCACCACTATCTCAGCTAGCCGATCAAGGTCAATGCCAAAGCTGAGAGCATCTTAAAGCTTGAGAAAGTCACAGCGAGAAGGGTCATGGTGATGGCGTGTACCTTTGATAGCACGTGATAAGAATGGTCCTGCACCTCTGTGGTCTTCCATCTGAAACCCAAAGCCCACTGTGTGATCCTGAGAAAAGTATCAGCCAAATATCAACACAGGAATATTCCAGAAAATGCCAGACCAGTACTCAAAACTATCAAGGTCATTAAAGACAAAGAAAAATTGAGAAACAGCTAAGAAGAACCCAAGGAGATGCGACAACTTTATCCGGAATGGGATCCCGGGATAGAAAAAGGACATTAGCTGGAAAACTAAGGAAATCTGACTCAGCACGTACTTGATAAATTGATATTGGCTCATTGTGACTAATGTTCCACTGGTGTGGAGTATCTGGCACCTCTCTTGAACTTCTTTGTAATTTTTCTGCATGTCTAAAATTATTCTCAAACGATTTAATGAAAACTTTCATGAACATTTAAACATTATCTTTTATTATCTTTTTCTTTCCATATTTTCATGGTAAAATTCTTAAAGAAAATCATACTACTATTGGGCTGGCACTGCAGCTCACTTGGGTAATCCTCCACTTGCAGTGCCGGCACCCCAGGTTCTAGTCCTGGTTGGGGCACTGGATTCTGTCCCGGTTGCTCCTATTCCAGTCCAGCTCTCTGCTGTGGCCCGGGAAGGCAGTGGAGGATGGTCCAGGTCCTTGGGCCCTGTACCTGCATGGGAGACCAGGAGGAAGCACCTGGCTCCTGGCTTCAGATCGGCGCAGCGCGCTGGCCATAGCGGCCATTTCGGGGGTGAACCAACGGAGGGAAGACCTTTCTCTCTGTCTCTCTCTAACTCTGCATGTCAAGAAAAAAAAAAAAAAGAAAAGAAAAAAAAGAAAATCATACTACCATAATATTAAAGAGAATTTTTCTAATGGTGTCTTATAACTTAGTTTTAGCTCTATCACCCATTTATATATTTGGTAAAGTAACTTGATATTTATATTATTCCTATCCTTGAGTATGTCATTTTCTTTCCTTTGGAAGAATAAAGTTTTCAATAATTTCTCTTAAACTTTAATTTAAACTTTAACATATATATGTTTACATATAAAATATATAATATATTCAGTGCTGAGCATATGAGTGTGTGTGTGTGTGTGTACTGAAAGAAATATTTCTAGATTACAGATTTGGTATGATTTTATTGAACTGAAAGTAGAGATTTTGAATCACATTATGGAAGTAGTAATAATGATACAGTCCTTCATCTTAAAATAAAGTTATCTTTTTGGATGAATAATTGATCTGAGTTATAATGTCTGTTTGGAAAATGTAGGGGAAAAGCACAGAGGTCCACAGTCACATGAGACAGAAATGCAGCTTGAAATCAAATTTGTAATTCTGACTTCCCATTGTTTTTTCACTATATTCCATATGTGAGTCTGTGGACATACATTTCCATTAGTAACAACAGTATGTGGCATCGTTTTAACACAGCACTATGAGCGAGGTCTTTGGAAAGGAACTGTATCTAATCATAGGACAGAAACACAATCTGCTTAACTGTTCTAAAATATTTACTTATTAACTCTTCAAGTGCTAGAATGCTATTAGAACAGATGCTGTTAAGTTAGCAGTTATAAAATTCTGAAATTGCTGAAACAAGAGTTGTTATATGATAAATAACAAGGAAATGATGAATTTCAAGTTGAGCATATGCAATACTTAAAATATTTGGTTATTCTCATCAATTCTTAATAGCATTCCTTTACCTACTCCTGTTAGAACATTTGATACAGGAATAATATTAGGCCACATACTGGGACCTGCTACCAGTTAGGGCAGCACATTGTCTTCTGTAATGTTCTCATTAGTCAGTCTTGAGTGTCCTCTTGCATAATCTGAAAAAACATCAGTTGGGACTGGTGAAGACTAAAAGAGTAATACTTCAAAGAATTTTTAAAAATACTTAAATCACAGTTTGGAATTTGGAAACAATGCTTGCCACTCTAAGCACTGGTGTGTGTTCCAAGGATATTCTAAGTATTGCAGAGAAAACCTGAAACAAGTTTTTGGTATCAGTTTTACTGGTAACATTTGTAACTGTAGCAAATGAGGAATGATTAAAATTTTTATGTATTGAATGTTTTCTTAGGAGAATAAATATTTTACCTTGGTAGAAATTTAAAAACTTAAAAACACTCAAACATAAGTATTTGCTTAAAATATACTTTCAAAATTAGGGTCATAAACGGTCAAAGTAAATAGAAGGGCAAGAAAATTTTCTGGAACTATCTTTACCATCTTTTAAAATAATTTGCTAACATTATAAAGCTCAAAGTATTAAAAATTTATGTTTTATAGGGTTGGAACTATTGGCATTTTCTATCTCTAAGAAATTTTATAAAGTCTTCCCAACAATCCTCAGTTTTCTGTTTTTTGCATCTATTTTAAATTTCTTCTATTTACATTTCTTTACTAAAACATTGAATATTTTCTATTTTTTGCAAACTAATTTGTCACAATTACAATATGATTTATTTTTTTCAGTATAAGTTAAAGGGGTATAGAAAGAAATGGTTAAATTCAAAAGAGTTAGGTATTATTGTAATTCAGTATAAGGGGCTGAAAATGCATTTTGACTCCTAACATTATTTGCCTATTTCTATAGTCCTTTACAAAACTGAGCTATTAGGTAAGTATACAATACACATTTCATTCTGTAAGTAAGAACCTAGGCAGCATCAAAGGACACTAATAAATACCCCATGCACCATGACCAAATTTCATAACTGGTCACCCTATGTACATATTTTAAGATTTCAAAAAAAGACCACATTATGGCCTTGACTTTTGCATTTCATAGTTTCAGTATTAAAATTGTGTTTTGCTTTGTTCATATCTATCTTGTAGCACTGTCAGAGCACGTACACTAACTTCGAGTAACATAGTAACAATTAGCCAGAGTAGTGTTCCCCATCCATTAGTCCTGTGATTGTACAAGATCACTCTAAAGAAACCTGAATCCCCAATTTATTTAATATACATAATCTACGTCTTCTACTTTTCTTTCCATTATAATTAGATACATCTGAGATTAGGTACTATAGAAAGTGCATTAACCTCTTTCCCTGTGAATTAGCAGATTCTAACAGTACACAAAGATATCTTGGCAATCTAAAACACGAAGTGCTCCTTCTAAAGTGCTAATTTTCCCCCAAGGAGGAATTTACTCAATAGGAAAAATCAAATTCTAAAACAAATCTTGTGCTCTTAGAATGGTAGCATAGACACCAGTTGAAGGCTTCCGTTTGTTTATGATAGCTCTGTAACTTAAACAGAAAAGAGTCACACCACACTTAAAAAAACTGGTACAGCTGCAAATATACAAACAATCCTAGAAACTTTAAACATTTTTAAAATTAAATGAGAAACTCTCCTCTCCCCTGAAAATGTGAGTTAGCACAGGAATGTTCACATAGCATGGTTACTAACGTCTGTGTGTAAATCTGCTGTAGAATCATTCTCACCACTACTTCCTCACCAAGTTTCAAAAGCATATACCAGCTTCAAAATCTTTATTCCACAAATGCCCAGGTTAGAGATTAGGACGCTTGATAAGGGCCCTTATCTTTTACATTTGGTAAAATAGTACAGTTATTGTCAAACAGACAATTCATCTAATTAATAGTCCAAAGTATCTTATAAAGATAACTTACGACTAGCAGGTCACCATCATATATAGTAACAACAAGAATATAAAGTTTACATTTAAAAAGGCTGATGCATGCGTGGTGTCATAGTATATTACATATTTTCTAGTCATGTGCACCAATTCGTTGTGCCTCAAACACAGAAACAAGTATGATACTACACCATATATGTGTATACATCATAGTAGCATAATAAACTCAGTTTTAATCAAGAAAAAAGAAATAGTTTAGGAACAGTAGAACTTCACAAAAGAATGATTCTTTTAGTTTTTCTTTACTCTTTAGGAAAAAATATGACTTTGTAAACATCTTCATTGCTATCTTTTTTCAACATATTACTGAAAAATTTTATTCAAATAGTAAATATCTAAGTGACATGGATAAAATATTTCTTAACACACTAACACTTTCAGAAAAAACAGGCATTTGTAAAAGAAATGATTATTATAAATATTTTCTATCTTGCATTATAACTACATTTTCATAAATAATGTATTTAAAAGTGCTGAATATTGTAGGATAGTCAGCAACGCCAGTGTAAACAGAACATTTTGTACTCTGCAAATTTTTTTAAATCCCATTTTGTCAAACACTGCAACAGTTAAAATATTTGCATAGGGAATAGATAATAGCCCTTTAAATCTTGTCTCCTGAATTCTATATAAATTATAAAATCATATTCACTTAAAAAAACAACTTTTGAAATGTTTTAAGTTTATGGAAAAAGAAATTTATGATGTCAACCTTTCAAGTAAAATAAATTTAAAAAGAAAACTCCAAACTCGCTTTTTAAAAAACATTTAATAAATTAAAAAATGAGAGGTAGTTAAAAAAATGACAAAGAAAACCTATAATTTTAATATCATCCTTAATATAAGGCCAGTGTTCTCAGTGGATATAAATCTTTTTAAAACTTTCATTTTAGAGTACTCAGTGTTATATTCATTCAGTTTAAGATTAAAAAAATAGCCTCCAGGGAATATTAATATTCAAATGTAACACTTTGATATAAATATGACACTGATTGTTGTTATAATTTTTGTGCATGACAGGATACTGTTTTCTTGAATGTCAGAAATACATGCCAATGTCAGGCAAGTATTCTGTCTTGAAGAGTTAGTGTAATTATAAAAAATATGGCAGCTAGAAGATTTGAGCACTGTACTGCCTTTTACTTATGGATGAGAATTAATAGTTTGGTTTTAATATTTTTAAAATAAGTCACTCAAGATATTATGTGAAAACAGTTAAGGTCTGAAGTAGAGAATTATCTTCTTCATAACCATTATAAAACTCTTCTTGGTAAAAACTTAGTTTTTCATTGGCTTTCACTTTCAAGGAAAAATGCCACAGGACAGATGCCATTCATCAAAATGTTTTACATGAGCTACATGTAGGCATTCCTTTATTAAATCCTTTCCTTTTTATTCCAAAACTAAGTTATCAAGCTTATATTTTTCTTGCTGCAGTACATAACTTTACACAACCATTTTATAACTGGAGATCCAGTCTTTAATAAATTAATTACAGTATTGGACATCTGATATATACATAGATTCATTTTCTTCTATTACAATTTAAAAACAATATCATTCTTTGATTTGTCATTGAGATAGGATATCTTCAAATTGTTTTGTGCTTTTTTTCTTCTTATTTTTTTAACATAGCAAACTCTTCTTAATGAAAATGCCACAGTTTTGGCAGTGATCAACCAGAGGAATTATCCGTTAGGATTTTCCAACAAACAGATAAATAGCTCTTTTTTCATGTACAGAAACATCGGCTTCAAAATTAGTGTACGGAACACAGTAGATAGCATGTTGAACACAATTGTTACATTTTAAAAATTGCCTTTTTCTATCTCAGATTATGATAAAAATGCAAATCACAGCCATTTTTGGCAATTATTTCTATAAGACCATATTGCACAAAAGTCCTTAAATACATATATAGGTTTTGCTATTGGATTAAGTAGAACAACAACTACGTGGCAAATGAAGCAGTTTTCACTTTGCACATGCAGTCTGTGGAGATACACTAGAAGACGGTCCATAGGACTACAAGTACAGTTTGCTTGCAAGTAGAATGAGTGTTGAGTAAAACAAACTTAGTTTGGCAATTCACTGTTTTATGTGGTATTTTCTCCAAGCTTAACCATGGATAACCTTGATAAAAATGGAGACAAAGACCATAATGTTTGTATTTTCACAGTAGCCTGAGGAATACTAAAGTGTAGCTGTCCAGGAACTCAATTTCTGATGTCATTTCACTACTTTAGTTCCCATCCCAGCCCTCCAAAATAATTCCTTTAATGAAAATTAAGATTCAGAAGAAGAGCCGGCAGTACTTTCAACAAATGACTTATAGATTTGAGAGTTCAAAAACCTCGGAAAAGAATCTCTGTGCATTAAGGTATAAATCTGAAGTTGGGCATCTTCATACATGTGAGGATTGGGATCCAACAGATTTCTATTGATCACCTCTCTAACTCGAGAATCGAGACTGACCTAAAAAGAAATAAGAGCAGATATATTAAATAAATAATATCTTTCATAAGACTTCGATTAAGTAATTATAGTGTGACATTGCAGAGAAACTTCAGAGTAAATCCAATGACAGGACACCTTGAGGTCGCCTTTTCAAAAGGCCACATAAGCTTGCAGATCTTTTTCCTTCAAATAAAAATAATCTTTTAAACTGGACATTTGGGTCACAGGTATCTTGACTTCCTCACACTCATATTTTCTGTGCATCCATTTAGAAGCTTTTCAGAACTGTCAAAAACATTGCTGGCTGGGGCCGGCGCTGTTAAAGCCCTGGGCGCTGGTTCGATGAGACCCACTTCTGGTCCAGAAGATGGCCCAAGTCCTTGGGCCCCTGCACCCACATGGGAGACCTGGAGGAAGCTCCTGGCTCCGGATCAGCACATCTCCGGCAGCCAATTAGGGAGTGAACCATCGGATGGAGGACCTCTCTCTCTCTCCCTGCATCTCCTCTCTCTGTGTGACTCTCTCTTTTTTTTTTTTTTTCTTTTGACAGGCAGAGTGGACAGTGAGAGAGAGAGACAGAGAGAAAGGTCTTCCTTTTGCCATTGGTTCACCCTCCAATGGCCGCTGCAATTCGCATCGCGCTGATCCAAAGACAGGAGCCAGGTGCTTCTCCTGGTCTCCCATGGGGTGCAGGGCCCAAGCACTTGGGCCATCCTCCACTGCACTCCCGGGCCACAGCAGAGAGCTGGCCTGGAAGAGGGGCAACTGGGACAGAATCCGGCGCCCCGACCAGGACTAGAACCCGGTGTGCCGGCACCGCAAGGCAGAGGATTAGCCTATTGAGCCACGGCGCCGGCCCGACTCTTTCAAATAAATAAATAAATAAGTCTTTAAAAAAAACATTGCTGGCAGTCAGAGCTGTGGCACAGTGGGTCAGCTTGCTACTTGGAATTGCCTGCATACTTTGTCAGAGTACCAGTTCCAGTGCTGGGGTACTCTGTTTCCCATCCAGCTTCCTGCTGATGTGCCTCAGAAAGCAGCAGAGGATGTCTCTGTCACCCACATGGGAGGCCCAAAATGGAGTTCCAGGCTGTTGTGAACATTAGGGGAGTGGGCCAATGGATGAAAGATCTCTTTCTGTCTCTTCTCTGTCACTCTGCCTTCCAAGTCAATAACTAAAATAGATCTTAAAAAGAAACATTGTTGAGATATTACAGAATCCTCTTGCCAGAGTATGAATTCTCCTCCTCCTATGCTGTGACTGCTGGGGGTGACTGCTGGTAACAAGGTTAGAATCTATTCTTACAGAATTTTTTTAAATTAATTAATTTATTTGAAAGGCAGAGTTATACAGAGAGGCAGAGGCAGAAAGAGAGAAAGAGAGGTCTTCCATCTGCTGGTTCACTCCCAAAATGGCCACAAAGGCTGGAGCTGTGCTGATCCGAAGCCAGGAGCCACGAGTCAGGAGCTTCTTCTGGGTCTCCAACGTGGGTGCAGAGGCCCAAGGGCTTGGACCATCTTCTACTGCTTTCCCAGGCCATAGCAGAGAGCTGGATTGGAAGTGAACCGGCTCTCATATGGGATGCCAGCACTGCAGGCTCTGGCTTTATCTGCTATGCCCCAGCACCAGCCCCTTCTTACAGAATGTAACATACCCAGCATGATGACTCCCTACGGGTTCATATCCCAGCAACTTTTGTATCAGAAGCAGGAAGTCAAGCAAGTAAAAGGCTTAGTAAGGCAGAAAGGCAGTAGACATTCCTCACGTCTTACAACTACCTGACAAGGCCTGGGAAATATCCTTCTCCTGAGATGCATCCCAAGATCTCCGTGCTAGCAACGAGGCAGAACAACCGCCTGACATGGAATTTTGAGAAGAGAAATAAAACAGGAATTTGAAATACCCATTAAAATAATCAGCACAGTGTTCTTTGAAAAGTGTCCTGAAACTAAATTGTAAAATCATCTCGGTTTTACTTCTTCTTCTTCTTTTTTTTTTTTTTTTTTTTGACAGGCAGAGTGGACAGTGAGAGAGAGAGACAGAGAGAAAGGTCTTCCTTTTGCCGTTGGTTCACCCTCCAATGGCCTCCGCGGCCGGCACACTGCGGCCGGCGCACCGCGCTGATCTGATGGCAGGAGCCAGGTGCTTCTCCTGGTCTCCCATGGGGTGCAGGGCCCAAGCACTTGGGCCATCCTTCACTGCACTCCCTGGCCACAGCAGAGAGCTGGCCTGGAAGAGGGGCAACTGGGACAGAATCTGGCGCCCCGACCGGGACTAGAACCTGGTGTGCTGGCGCCGCAAGGTGGAGGATTAGCCTAGTGAGCCGCAGCACCGGCCTTTGATTTTACTTCTTCCCTCAGTGAACACTAATCTTGGTGGAACTGGTAGACCATGTTGGAAAGGGAAGTGGGGTAAATAAATAAATAGCAAAAAAACAAAAAACAAAAAAACAAAAACAATACCTGGGAAAGGAGAAGTACAGCTGTCATACACAAACCTTCATATTTATATCTGAACAATTTGTCATAAGCCTTTTGCAAAATTTTTTTTTTTCTTTTGGCTTCCTTACCCAGTCATCGTTCAGACGAAGTCTGGGGTCTGAAAAATCTTTCAATGAGTCCATTCATTTTCTGTCTTACTGTTCCCAGATCCCAAATACCACAGACTTCTGAAATAAAGTTGACTGATAAATCCCATGGATTGCTGCTAGGTTCGTCAGAAACTGCTGACCTAGACTGAATTTCTGTGGTTTAACCAGATTATTTTTATATAGACATTGGCTGCACTACATACATTCTTTAATAAAGAGAATTCTTTAATAAAAGAGAAAAATGTTCTGGAAACATTTGTGTCATTTTTATTTTCTGTTATTGTCATATGAAGTCATCATGAAGTACAAAATGACCAAAGATATAGATTTTTCCAGAAGATTTTTATCTGAAAATATTTTTTGTGTTTCTACTCAATAGAAAAATGTTGTCATTAGAACTTAAACTGATTCATATTCTGAAACGGTGATATGTACAGTAAGGCAGAATCTTCCCAAACATAATTTACTGTTTTTGTAAATGTTGCTCTTACTTTCAAACTTGACAAAAACCTTTTGTTTCAATGGAAAAGGAAACCTTCGATTTGTGAAGAGTATCATTTACTTCCTAAGTAATAATATGATTATAGTATAACATTTTCTTATCAGAGGCTGGAATCATGTTAGTTTTCTTAATAGAAACAAAACAACTAGGATTATTAAATTCATGAACCCTCATTTCTTAAATGTTTTACAAATTAAAAACAATAGTGAAATATCCTAAAGTACTTCAGTTCAACATTTAGTAATCCGTAACAAAAAAATGCATTTTTCTCTTCCCATTTAAAAATAAGACATTTACCTTAGTATCTGGTTGTTTGAAAAGTTGTCAATCAGTTAAAACAGGTGAGGAGTGGTCTCACAACAAGGATACACCCCCTGGGTGTATGATCTATAGTTCCATCTGTGGCTTCTTTGTACAAGGGAGGGGGGAGAGTGGATCCAGCCTGGGCCTCAGCCATAGACACTAGGATTCAGGTGTGTCTGGATGGGTTGTAAAGCCATCTTGTTTGGGGTCCAAGAACTGGGGAGTTTCCTGGAAATAACTAATCCTGAAGAAAGAGATAGTTCAGCAACACAAGACAAGAGCTACCCTTGGGCTTGTAGAAAATACCTTCTCACCCAGTCTCCATAGACTCCTACCTGGGGATGCATGGAGGGGCAAGAGGTGCATCACAGAAATCATAGTGTAAAACACAAAACACTGCTACTCCGAGACAGGCTATAGGGGAGCTCTGATAGATTTGGCAACATTTAACTGGCAATGTGAGCAGTGCTGAAAACGCTGGCAGTGTCGAAAGCTGGCAACTGAAGTTTAAATAGACACAAGGGACTCTACGACAGGTCTTGGTGAGCATGGAAGCATTCATTCCCACAGGGAAGAGGAGACAGACAAGAAGAAAAAAGAAAGCAGCTGGCAAGCAAAATAAAAATATCCACTGGCAACTCGGGTATGCAGATGGAGTGGAGAGAATGAAGACACAGAAATCCTGCTGGTGTGGCTTGGGAAGCCTGGTACATGAGTTATATGGCTAATCTTACTAGATTTTCTTATCCAATGAAGGGGAATATTAGGAGAGGTGATTAACACTGAGTCTGGTGTTCCTGTCCCAGCTGCTCCATTTATGACCCAACTCCTTGTGAATGGCCTGGGAAAAGCAGTGGAAGATGGCCCAGGTGTTTGGGCCTCTGCACCCACATGGGAGACCCAGAAGCTCCTGGCTCCTGGCTTCAGCCTGGCTCAGCTCTGGCTGTTTTGGCCATTTGGGGAGTGAACCAGTAGATGGAAGACCTGTCTCTGTCTCTCCATCTCTCTCTGTAACTCTGCATTTTTGTTTTGTTTTGTTTTGTTTTGAAAGATCTATTTATTTATTTGAGAGCCAGAGTTACACAGAGAGAGAAGGAAGGCAGAGAGAGAGAGAGACAGAGAGAGAGAGAGAGAGTGTGTTCTTCCACCCACTGGTTCATTCCACAATTGGCCATGACAGCTGGAGCTGTGCTGATCCAAAGCCAGGAGCCAGGAGCTTCCTCCAGGTCTCCCGCATGGGTGCAGGGGCCCAAGGACTTGGGCCATCTTCCACTGCTTTCCCAGGCCACAGCAGAGAGCTGGATTGGAAGTGGAGCAGCAAAGGTCTCGAACCGGCACCCGTATGGGATGCTAGCACAGCAGACGGCAGCTTTACCCATTAAGCCACAGTGCTGGCCCCTGGAACTCTGCATTTTATAATCTTTTTAAAAAAGAGACAGACGCGGCTCAATTGGCTAATCCTCCGCTTGCGGCGAGGCACCCCGGATTCTGTTCTGGCTGCTCCTCTTCCAGTCCAGCTCTCTGCTGTGGCCTGGGAAGGCAGTGGAGGAGGCCCAAGTGCTTGGCCCCTGCACCTGCATGGGAGACCAGGAAGGGGGCACCTGGCTCCTGGCTTCGGATCG